TGACCTGTGACTACACAGCGAAGAGAAGCAGTACATTAATGTCCTCATCTCTCATTCTGCTCTCTCTCCTCCTATCAGCATGTTCTTGTTAGCACATGAGCACTACACCACACCTAATTGGCTCTTTGCACTTCTCCTTTTCCCAGTATGAACTGCTCGGTACAGGGACTGCAAGCTAATACCAGTTCAAATGTTGGCTCAAGTTGCCTACCTACCAACACGCAGGAATGCACAAAGGGGTGGAGCTCATTCAGGGTGAAATCATGAAGGTAGAATTATTTCTAGTATGAAAACCTGAATCCCGCTGCATACAGTACTTTAATTGTTTAAGGTCCTGTTCACACCGGGTCTTCTCTTCTCTTTTCACTGTGCATTCCCAAGTTGTGGGTAAGACAATACCTGTGAAAGTTACTTTATTGCAGTATAGAAGTCTCCTGCCCTGCCAGACAGGGCTGTTATGTATAGAAACGCTGTGTAAAGCTCAGGACTGGACAGACAGAATTACATATCCGTTGACAGATAAAACAGCCATATATGTATTTCATATGTGTATTTAGCTGTTTGCCTGGAGTTCAGCTTTAGGGAAATAAAATAAAGATAGATTTTACCAAGAAGGAATGGGCATTATTCAGCCAGGATATCCTGGATACCAGAAGGGCATGTGATTACAGTAAGAACAAAATGTACCGAGACATTGGATTCTAATTGTCAATCTAATTTCCTCAAGGAAAGATATATTCAGAAAGGTTATAAGGAAGAGGAGTTAGGAGAAATAATCAGGGAAGCGAGTAGTGTAATAGAAAGGAAGAAATGCAGTTTTCAATGATAATGAGTTTTGGAGCACAATATAAGCAGGTTATAGAATGACAAAAGCCTTGGTCTATCTTGCAAGGTGACCCCCATCCTGGGAACACGTTTACCAATTAAACAAAAAATCATTCGGTCCCCAGTACAAAAAAAAAAAAAAAACAACAATTATTTCTTACTATAAATGTTTTCATCTGTGAAGAAAAGTAATTTCATATAAAATACTTCAGGAGAAATGACGATGATTAAACAATGTATTGCATGTCATTCCTATCTGTGTGGAAAGCAATATGTTAGGAAAAAATAGATGTTTAAAAAAGAATTAAGGATCATTTAAAATATTGTACACGATTGATAACTTTCATGTTCCTGGCAGCTAAAATTACAATTGCCAAAGTCTGGAAGACACCTAGGGTGTATTTGGGGCAAGTAAAGATCAAGCTGTCCTGGATCATGACGCACAGAAAATTGGCGAGTATTCTCCTGGATAAAATGACGCAGTTTGAGGCAACATGGGGTCCCTGGCTGGAATATGAAGGCTGCATAACAATATGAGGGAGACGGAGTGGTTCTTGGGGCCCCACCCCACCCTGACCAAACTATAAACTATTTTTTTCTCTCTTCTGTAGGTTCATTGTCTTTTTTTTTTTGTGTGTTTTTTTTTTTCTCCTTTCTATTGTGTCTGGGTTTTTTTTTTTTCTTTATGTGTTTGCCGGTGTTTGTTATGGTATGTCTAGAGTTAGATTTAAGTAAGGATATGTAGTAGATATGTCTTAGTGGGGACTACTTGCCCACTAAATCCGGTTGTAGATAAATAATTAACTACAGGATAAAGTCAAATAACGGGGAAATATGTTACATTATAACTAAACTAAATCATAGTGTCTTATTGGTTGGAAGGGGTAGAAATAGAATGAGAAATTTCAAATTAAAGTAATTATAGGTGAAATACACCATCATATGACAGTACTCTTTCTAACACCATATTACAGTAATGTTATTCAGTCCGTTAACGTCATCGGTATATGTATATTGATATACTATGTTGAATATATGACTTTAGAGTGGCTATACAAATAATGTCCTGCTAGGTCAGAAACTACATTAGTTCACTATGTTGCTTTATGTTATATGTGTTGTTTATGTATTGACAAACTAATAAAAATGTTGAAATTTAAAAAAAAAATATCAAAAAGGGACTAAAGGGGAAAACATAATGGTTTTGAAATGAAGCAGCAGTGATGTATGCGTGCGTGTGATGTCCTTGCTGGCATCCTTTGCAGATCTTACAGACACAATAAAAATGGCAACTGTTCCAATCAATGTATTACTAACATTGCAAAGTAAGGTGCACATGGACAGAACATTTCACAGACCAATACAATACATTTTTTCCATATAACACTTACCAACTAGGTACAGAGGTTTCATTTGCATGCATTTGCAAATATACGCAGAAGCCACACTGCCTTGTCAAGGTCTGTCTGTGAAAGGTGATTCCTAACTCTAATCCATTTTGGGACATATATAGCAATGAATAAATTGAGGGAAGGTATGCCTGGAGGTAACACATTCATCCTTAACTTTGCAGAGACACACCGTATGCCCAGCACAGCACACTGGCAGCTGAACAACTCCAGTTCATCTCTGCATCTTGGTACACTGAGGGGAATTTATCAAAACTGGAGCAGGCAGAATCTAAAGCAGTTGCCAATGGCAAGCACTCAGCTTCTGTCTTTCATTTTCAAATCAGAACAGAACACACTGAATAGAGAAGCTGATTGGTTACTATGGGCAACTGCTCCAGATTTTGTCTGCTCCAGTTTTGATGAATTCCCTCCACTGTGTGTAGGTTGAGGCAGCCTGTAGTCCCATCTTCAGAACGTGTTATGCTGACAATGCTACCACAGTGTTAAGAATCTTTAGGTTGAGTTGTCCCCCAGGTGCAAGAAGCAGACACAAGGGCCAAGAACTGACAGGATCAACAGCTATATTGGTACTTCTTAAAGAGCATCTCCAAAAAGCCTGCACTGCTGTAGTAAACATTAGACATGTGCGATTCGTTTCGTTCCGAATCGAAATTCGGACGAATTTTCAGGAAATTCGGACATTTGGATGTATCCGAATTCCGAATTACAGACATAACGAATGCAAACCAATCCGAATTTCCATTTCCGAAATACGGTAGCGGTAGTTCGAACCTTCGTTTCGTTTTCTGTGTCTTTTCGTTTCTTATTCGTTTCTTATTCGTTTCGTTCGTTGGAGCAAAGTGACATTAGAGAAGGAGAAAAATATTTTTTCCCCCTCAAATGTCACTTTGCTGCAAACGAATAAGAAACGAATAAGAAACGAAAAGACACAGAAAACGAAACGAAGGTTCGAACTACCGCTACCGAATTTCGTCCGAATTCCGAATCCGAATTGACTTTCACACCCGAATCCCGAAAAACGAAATAACACAAATCCGAATTTAAAACGAAACGAAACAAATTTTTTGGCAGTGCACATGTCTAGTAAACATACTAAATGTCCATAAAGAAGACGATTTCTTTATTAGGGTTTGTATACACTTTAAATAAATGACAAAGGATTTCCAAAACACTATGGACAAAGCAAAAGCTGTCTGCTGTCAGGCCTGATGTCTCTCAAACCTCTGAGAGAGCTGTATGAAGGGAGGAGGAGGAGAAATCACCTGAGAAGCTTATCTGACTCATTCCCTTGCGTGTGTGAATTTCACTCTGAGCTACTGGGCACAGTAAACAAGGGCATGTGTAAATGTAAAAATAAGCTAAAGGCTGCTAAGTGACTACTGAGATAATATGAGTTTGCTACACAGAGATTTTCTTGCATTTAGTTGAGGTGGAACCTTCTCATGTAAGTGGTTCCGACCCATTCTAGTGCAAGGGAGAGAAAAGAAGTACTGCATGTGCATCAAGGTCAACACAGATTGTTGTAGTTGGTTCCCATGTGCTGTTAAAACTAGTACACAGACAGGCAGATATCTCTCCAACCATCTGTGTGTGTGTATGGTCAGCCAAAATCTGAGCACACTGATAGACTTGCATTGGCAGAGAGGTTCATAATACACTATAATGAATGGGTTATGGGCAGTAAGGTTATGTTCACACAGGCTTTACAAACAATTGCATGTTAAAACACATGTGCTATGGTTTGGGTTTGGGTATGTTTATAAAGAGAGTTTAAAAAAAGCTTCCTGAACATCTTCCGAGCGTCTAAGTAGCATTTGGCTTGTGTTTGGGACTCGCTGATTTTGACTTGTGTGTTATTAAATCCTCTTATATGAAAGACATATAGTGCTGCTGATCTCAGTACTTACCATATTTAATGTGTGCCTTCCTTGTCAAGCCTGTCATTGCTTTGTATTCGGCTTGTCAAAACTCTCTCTCCCTTGCTATCTCTTTTCGGGTGGCCATGCTGCCTTCTTGGGTCACATGGAAACCCACCCTGGTCACTCCTGTGTCCACACTCCCAGCTTGTACTACATTCGTATGTCCATACACTGGGTGTGTCATAAAGCCAGCTTTGAAATCTAGTACTTCAAGACCCATACCTGCTTCTTCTCCAATGGAATTAAATGTGTCTCCTGGGGCTAGATCTATGACAATAGGGCTTGGTGGTATGGCAGAGGAACGATGGTACATGTAGTCCAGATGAGGGTCATCAAGTGACGTTCTCAGTGTGTGCTTTCCTACTGGAAGTTCAGGGAAGCCCTGCTGAGCCAGCGGCTGTGAAAACTACAAAGTGTAAGTGGTTCTGCACTTATTGTGAGAAAAGTATTTAATGGCGAATGGTTTATTCGTGAATATGAATATATTAAACTTAAAAAAAGGAGATTTTACTACTTTAAATTGGTGTTTTTGAAAGCTTTGCAAGTTGGTTGCTGACGAGATCAAGAACAACATGAAATGAAGCAAAGTGACACAAATGCATTCTGAATTGTATGTGTATACTAGACCATTTGCTTTAATGTTACAAAAAAGGCATTGGTTTTGCAGTGTTTGGAAAGCTTTAATGATGTGACGTAATAGCCTGTTCTTCATGTCCATGTGAACTATGACTTATTATTCACTGTGCAGGAAACGGATTTGTAATAAACAAATATAATAATAACAATAATAATAATATCAAGAGTACATATTACTTTTATATATATATTTTTCTCTTTCCTTCAGAGCTGAGGAAATCCAATGACATTACCAGCTGCTTGTCCATAAAATCTAAACTGCAGAAAGAAAATGGAGAGGTAAGACATAATTCTACTAGAGCATATTGATATGAACCTATGAGAGAAGCGGGTGTGGGGATTCTGATCTCCAAATGAGCTCCCCCACCTACCTCCAGGTGCCCATTTGTATTCTCATCCATTGTAATAGCATTCACAGCCTTTAGGTCTTGCCCTTCTCCTACCGCTCTTTATCTATAGTGCACCAAATTAGATGGGTGTCATTAGGAATCAGAATTCATCTTTGCTTTACAAAATCAAAAATTTCCATAGCAGCAGATTATAAATATATGTCAAAATTACATATATTAATGGCAATACCAATCTAAAAAATCTGCGCTCCTATCTTTAACTAAAAATACCTAACCACAAAGTGTAAAGCTGCAAGTGCAACAGTGAATATAAACCACCTGTAACATCAAAGTCCACAAAAAAGCACTGCGCTAAACAAAAATGACAATAGAAGAAAAAAAACACAAAAAAACAAAACTTAAAAAAAACTGGACTTTTGCTTATTCATGTTTTTTGTGTTTTTTCTTCTATTTTTATTTTTGTTTACAGCAGTGCTTTTTTTTGTGGCCGTTGTGGCCGTTTTGCTGATCTGAATTCAGTAAGCTGAAATATTTTCGGTTGCTATAGGCTATTGCCCTGTGTAAAATGGAGTTATGTTTACGCTCATGTGGATATTTCACATTCGTAATGCTAATATAGAGGGTTCAACAGTTTAGGAGGGAGGAGTAGTAAATAGCAGTGTTGTATTATAAATAAAATGCTTCCCTTGAAAGTAAATACATTTGGATGTTGAATTCTAGAAAATAGTTGTGACACTGGAAGGGTTCCCTAGTAATGGTGGCAGTGGGTGGCTTTACAATAACATCCAAGTGTTTGGATTTCCTCTTCTTCTTAGACAGGAAGTGCACACTTTCTTTCTATTTGGGATGTTGTGGTTCAGTCTCAGGGGTACTGGAAGGCAAGGAGGTTTAGAGTCAGGGTGCTGGGTGGCAAAGGGGTGCAGGTTAGCTGAAAGGGGCAGTGGGTGTAGTGCTGGGGTGTAGTGTCTGCGGTGCTGGGAGACAGGGAGGTTCAGAGTCGGGGGGTGCAGGGATTTCAGTGGTAGCGACAATGCCAGGGGTACTGGGTTCTTCATAGGCTCGAATGCAAAAGCTGGCCACTTGAAAGCCTAGACTGCATTGCCCTCTGATATAAAGTCATTGCAGTTAGAAGGGGCTAGCATGGTTAAGAGCTCATAAGGATTTAGTTATTTGAAAGTATTCTTAGAACTTCAGCCTCCTTGAGACCTATGCTTTGCGATAATGTGTGTTTTGCTGCAGCAGTAATGCAAGTACAGTAGGTGCCAATGGACTCACACTGCGACATACTACAATACACGTGTTTTGCATTGTGGTGCACTGCAGGTCTGGGTTTTTATTTGATTGCCATGCATTGGCAGCCCATTGTTGATAAATCAGCTGCCCTATTGCAACAGGTTAATTTGTGTTTAGTAGCACACTGCAATGGAAAAGCTTAGTGTAAGAGGGAGGCTTGATATTTTGATCTCCACTGCTGGCCAAGTAATGGGTGCACTATGAGGACTTAGGTGGAAGCTTCCCAAAATAAGATTTGTAATAGGTTTTAAGAATCTTTCAACTTATCAAATCTCAGCTGCAATATTATATGTTTGAGATCTTAGCAAGCAGTTCAAAATGTAATAAGTTGGACACTTTTATTGTTAAAGGAAATGTCATGGAATATATTGGAAAAAGTGATTTATAATAACCTTATGAAAAAACAATTCCAGAAGCAGGCAGCAAGGAGGCCAGTTCCATCACTTCAATTTCACTCCATTCAACCTCTGGGCCATTTTGGGAAACACTTCATCACATACATATAAGTGGTCCCTCAGTTTTTCGAGGTTCTAGGCCTAGTCCACCGAGGTTCCAACCCACATGGGGGATGGTACACCTGTGATACCCTTCTCACCCCCACCAAGCAGGAGGACTCTGCATTACTAGGCCGGCACAAGTTTCCTGACCAGAACCAGTCACAAACTGTCCGCTACCCAAGTAATAGGCTTACCTTCCATTCCACAGGAATAACAAGACTCAGTCCACTACTGTCTTTAACTTGTTTTTTTCTGCATGGGAAGTTGCAATAATACAGTCACTTGGGAAACATCACTACATCTTCCATGGCTTCATAAGTTCAATTCCCCTGCCCATCACCAGGGGTTTCTTCATCAAGTAACTTCCAGCTAACCTGGAGGTGCCCCACTCGGGATGAACATGAGGCTTTCCTCTCAAGGGGAAGCTGCATAGTGGGTCTATTACATATTTCTATCTGAGGCCCTAACTCTCCCTCTAGGGCAGAACAGACCTCACTTCCACCAGCAAATGACTCATATACTGAACTCATACCCAGGTTGGGATCCTTGACTCCTGCCAGCACACACACACACATCCCTTACTGCATGGATTAGAAGCCCAGGCTAATCATAGCAGGTCTTACTTGATGCCCAAGTCTTAGCATGCACCGGGCTGAGTGACAGCACTGGTGCTTGGACCCTGTGTGCACAAAGCACAGGTTCTCTTTAAATATTTGGGTTGTAGCATCAGGAAATCACAGCTCCATCTATTTTAATATTTTATTGGAGACACTTTGAAGGCTGCATATTGAATTAGCTTGTGTGAGAGAATGAGTACCTCAATATCTCAGTCTGGACCTTTCCATCATTGATTATGAGTCCCATTATGTCTCTGCTTCAGGAGAGACTGAAAGAAGGATTCCTTCACCGGCTGCTCTAGCGTTTGAAAAATTATAATTGTGTTTATACCGTACCATAACCTTACCATCGACCTGCTTCCTTTCGTCCCAATAATGATTGTTAGAAGTTCTTGAAGTAATGTGAATCACCTTTATTATGGCACTTGTATAAAGAAGGCAGTGACACCATTCTTAAAGGGTCGCTGCAACCAAAACTGATATTTTCGTTTTGGATAGTTCCTGAAAGATGGATCACTCTCAGACCACTTCTTAGCAGTTTTGTCTCTGCAGCTCCTGACATGGCTTTACATACCTAGGAGCCGCACTGATATGGATGGAGCAGGGAGTCTCCCTTGTTCTGCTGTAGTAAGGTACACAGTAGTCCAGGGGGTAAGGAACTTTGCCAATCCAGGTATTGTGGGACTGCAAGCCCCAAGACGTGAGGGGATTTTACCCAACAGGGACACAATAAAGCATTTTCATCTAGCGGAAGGAAGGAGATGTTATAAAAAAAGTTTTAAAAAATCAAACTCGCATATGAAAAATGTGAAAAAACAGACAAAATTGTTTTAAAGTCCCTCGCGTGCACGCACATATAAACCTACGCGTCAGCTGCACAGGGTACATATTGCCAGGGATGTTAGAGTGAGAGCAATAATTTTAGGGCTATTAATCACTGATAACACTAAACAGATAAAAGCTTTTGAGGCATTGCCTATGGCCAATTATAGGTATGGTATTTTTTGGCGATTTCGCAGGCACGTGCAATTTTAAAGCTTGACATGTTTGGTGTCTATTTACCTGACGTGAGCCTGTCTTATATATTTCATGACCCTGTCTTATATATTATACCAAACATTTGGGGGGTAATAAACGTTTGATAACATAATGTAGGGAAAACATTAGGAAAACAAAATTCTGTACTTTTTTCATTTTATAGTAAAAAAAACAAAACCCAGTGATGATTAAATGCCACCAAAATAAAGCTCTATGTGTCCCCAAAAAATTGTATAAAATTAATTTCAGTACAGCGTTGCATGACGGAATAAATGTCAGTCAAAGTACCGCAGTGCTGAATACTGAAAAATGGCCTGGACAGGAAGGGGATGTAAACACCCCGGTCAGCAAGTGGTTAAAGCTTTTATTACTGTTGCTCTATACAAATTTCTATTCGGCTAAGCCAGCGCGGTGTGGATATTTTAATAATGGTGTGTGGTTTACATAGTGTAGGTTAGGGAGAGGTGCTTTTGTATTGTATTCGGTAAATGTATTTCATATCCGCCTGTAGCACTTTGAGTGCCCCATGTTTGCAGTGGAAGTATTTATGTACAGGGCTATGAAATTATATTATATTTTTATTAGAGTAATACTCCAGTTTTGTTGACAAACAATCTCTCTCTAGGTCACTCAGATTGCAGGACTTTTATAGACTGTAATTACAGATTTTACAGGCTTGTGTTCCATAAAAGATTGAGATTTATCATTTCAGTGGACTTTACCAAAACTTTAAAGAGGAACTTCAGCCTTATTTTAAAAACGACAACAAAGACACCTTTAGAAGTGTTTAGTAATAGAAATCTACAATCAGATACTTACATCATGAAATGCTTTTTTATTATTTGCATGCCCTATGTTTCCATCCCCATTCTTCTCACAGTGGCCATTTTCACTGAGGGCAGATAATTATATCGCCCTTTCCTACTTAGAAGTCTGGCTCTGCCTCTTGGAAAATGCGCGTCATCTCAGGTGGAAAAACGCCTTTCCCTGCGATCTCGCAAGATTTTGCAGTTTACAGATGAGATTTCTCAGGAAGGCGCTGGTGATGTAGCCTTCCCAGGATGCATTTGTGAGGGCAGGGCTACATCACCAGTGCCTCTGCTCAACCAGAAAGTGGAAAAACACTCATTGTAAGTAAAAGCATAACATAACATGTTTATTTGATTTTATACCAGCATGCAGAGCTGCAGGCTGATGTGATTGTTAGTAAAAGTGGGTAAAGGCCCACTCTAAATAAGTGGGAGCTTCTACCTTGAATATAATTACATCTTTTCCAGGGTTGAAACAAAAACACCCCCTGGCATCTTGTTTCGGGGAAGAGAATTTTTACTGCTGTAGTCTGAAATGGGAATTACATTTTTATAATTATGACATTTAAGTGTATTGCAAGCCAAACACGTTTTTCTAGTTTTAGATAGAGAGGGGAGGGATCAGAACCCCTGTCAGGTTTTTTTTTGTTTTTTTTTACTGCTATGCAGGGCTCCACTAGAAAGATTTCTCCTCACTTCCTGTCCTGCTTATAATAGTTTTACAAGACAGGAAGTGATGAAAAATCCACAAAAAGGACACAGACAGAAATGAAAATCCAACATGTGTTCTTGCCCTTAATACTAAAGAAAAGCATTTTTATTTCTGTCTGTGTGTCTGTTTCTGAAGACTGTGTAACAGAGCCCTGGATAGCATTAAATACATAACAGGGGTTATAACCCTTCCCCCACTCTCTCCAAAAAAATAGTTTTGGCTGGACATGAACGTTAAACTCTGCATATCTTATACATGTACATACACAAGAATACATTCCCTTTAAACATATTATTCTTAATTGTAGGAGTCTCGACATGGCAGTGCAGTGGAAGAGGATTCTGAAGGCGACAATGATTCTGAAGAGTTTTATTACGGAGGACAGGTGAGTTCCCTGACTAAGAAATTGCTATAAATCAGGTGTGAGAACATAGGTGCTTTTGTTGGTAATTACCTTTTAAATTGTATACAGTATATTTTCATGACGGAAATGTACAGCATCACTTACAGAACCTTTTTAATTGTTTACAATTCAACTCCAGCCAAGTAATTTCTTGTACTTTAGCTTGGAGTGGGGAAGGTTTAGAATGTGTGTCTGATTTTTCCTGCTGCCTGTATTCCCATTGAGGGGATTTCCCCTCAGGGATTGCTGTCTGTGTCTTTGTTAGGGTGATTCAACCTCCTTATTTGTCCTGGTGACCGTTATCACTAAAAGTTATAGTAAAAGAAAATCCCAAATTTTGGGTTGTCATCAAAACAGAATAGATGGGGACACTAGTTTTGCTAACCACCAGGAATTTCACTCCCTTTGGAGGGATTTCCTCTCACTTCCTGTTGTGGCTATCTGACAGGAAGTGAAGTGAAATCTCCCTAACTGGGCACAGATGGAAAAAAAAGCTGACAGGGATTATAATTCTCCGTTACTCTATGTACAACTAACCAAAAACTGTCACACTCCTTTCACCTAACCCTGAAATATTAACTTAACCTATCAAATGATCTCTTAACACACTACCTTCCCCCCTAACCATTTAATATAAGCTGGAAACCTATTCTTCATGTGTGTCCATGTGGTGCACACAACTTCCAAATAGCCAGTTTCATCTGAAGCTAACGAGTTGCTGCAAAGTTCCCCCTGCCTACTAAATCCTGGGAACAGCAGCTAACAGTGCACTAGAAGTTGTTGTGTTGCACAGCCAGTTTACAGATTAAAAACATTTGCTAGCACATAAGTGAAAGAGTTTTTTGCCATATACTGGTAGATCTTCATATGAACGTTCATATGAAATATGTCATTAGAACATTCGATAATGCCCTCACAGACTTGTAGAATGTCGTCCCAAATTTCGTTTTATTTTAACACTTGATTTTGGAATGAATGGATTTTCTGATATAAAAAACCACATTCATTGTTAGAATTGTGTTCCTTTGAGAAAAGAGTTCCCATCCTGCTTCCATCCACTGTTGATTTGACCCCATTAACTATTAAAAATTGAACAAATGTCCCGAAAATGATTTTTTATGAAATTCTACTGGTATATGGCCAGTTGTATAAAACAATTTCTACCAGACCATACGTGTGACACATTTTTTCAGGATTTACTTCCACCTTAAAGCCTGTGTTTGGCTGGCCTGGGAATGCAGTTTAATACTATATATGTTGGCCTGTATTATTAATGACTACAGCCTTAAAGCAATTCCCCAATATAAACTCACCTTTGTCAGTGAATGTTTTATGGATTAAACAATATATTTTTTTAGATTAATAATATACCATTATATAATAATGTAGGTTACATTAACAATGAAAGACCGCCTGTGCCCTGGACTGTAGAGTTAAAATTGTTTAGTGCAGTTTCTGTGCAGCATGTATTTTTAATGTATCTATTTCTAAAACGATAACATAAGTGGTAAGGTCAATATGTTTTATCATACACAGTATTTTGAAACGGGATATTAATGCATTCTTAATTTACTTTAAAATGAATTTCCTCACAGATGCACTTGAATCTTATACATTATAAATAAAGGTATATAAACTACCAAGGACTATGTGAGGCTATTAATTATTGAGGTAGGAATTTTATTTCAGAGTTGATCATATTTTATGTACAGAGGGATTATAAAGAGCCCTGATGTGTTACATTAACATAAACCAATTTTTTAGTTATAAGTAACAGGGAAAGTAGTGTTTATGTTAGCGCTTAATTTAAATGCACTAACATGCTTTATGTTTCTGAAAGTAGAACATACCATAAACTGATTACATACAAAAAATCCACAATTTTCCTTTCTTTGGCTGAAGTCAGACACTAGAGACAAATCGCCAGTAGCAGGATCGCTAAAGAGGCTGCCTGTCTGTCCCTATGGAATTGCTCCCCCTGAGATGTTGCTCTGTTGCAGTCCCGAACACTGCTGAATCTCGATCGCTAGCTATGGGAGTGACATCTTACTGCCTCAAATACAGAGAGAGAGATCCCACAGGGACAAACAGGCAGCCTCTTAGTGATCCTGCATGTGGCAAGCTTGACAAATTACCAGTGGCAGGATCGCTAGCGACAGAGTCGCCAGTCTGATATCTGAAGCCTTTTTTAACAGGTTGAAAGTGCGGAAAAATTCAAACGTTTGAGTTGTCACTGGAACAGAAATAGACAGGATATCTTCCAATGGGGATACTTGTTCTAGGGGGATTTTCCTCAATCTGGAGACACATACTCTCACATCCTGTTGTGGCTAGAGGACACAAAGTAAAAAAGCAAAACTGAAGTTTACAAATATTAGACATGCAAAGCCATAAATATTGTTCCTCTTGCTCCTCCAACACTCTTTCATTATGTGTAGACTGCTTGGTGCGTATGTGCAGGACAGTGTACACCCCTAGCTCATCCCTGACATCTTGACATCCATGGCAAGAATAGGGACAGGTGCCTAATGACAATGTGGGAGGGACAACACTCGAGGAGAAAACATTGGTAGGTAAGTGCAGCAACATGACGGCAAGAGCATTCCCCCCACAGCAATCTTAAGTTCCGTGTTAAGGGAAATCTCCACAATGGGACACAGATAACAAAAAAACATGGCAGATCTGTAATCTATTTCTCAATCTATCCAAAACTAAGACATTTTTTTTGGATTTAGATGCCCTTTAAATTCCCCAATTAATTAAGTGTAATTTCCACAATGGGGTTTGTTAACCAGATTAGGTCTAGACACATAAGATAGAAACCTGATCTAGATATTGGTAGTCACCCCAGGAAAGGTGCTGGAGGGTTAATTGAGAATCTTCATTGGTGTGATCACACCCTCTATCACCTCTCATGTTATATGCTATTTGGATTTGAGAACAAACACAGTTGTAGTTATATTGTGCCTTTTCTATCTGACATTTCTGGGTATGTCAGATACCTGATCCCCCTCTGTCCACTGTGTTTCCTCCCACTTGCCGCTATGTCACTACAGTACACAATAGTGATGCAATAACTGGCGGGTAAAAACCATTGCGTGCATGGCAAGACATGCCTTTTGGCCAACTTGAAGTCATTGGATAGCAGTGGTGCTCATAGCTCTGCTAGAGAGCAAAGAATAGGTAGGTAGGTATAAATATTCAATAACATCTTTTTTGGGAGCTATTGGATTTATTTGTTTTATAATTGCGACATGGGGCCTGTAGTACATTAACACACATCAATAAATGTATTTACAATCATATGTACATTTGCAAAACATTCACAAGTATATTCTAAACACGGAAAAAAAAAATGTAGGTTTCCTTTTGCTGTCAGAGATTTGTCATTTTTTTTATACATCTGCTCGCCAAACCATTAAGATTAACTTACATAATTGTAATAAATGTACATCAGTTTTCAAAATAACCCCTCAAAAACCTTATATTTTCTGACCACACTTCATCTGATCTAGATAAAGATAGTACCAATGTTGATTCATTTGTTATTATGTCTACAAAATGTTCTGATAATGATGGCATTTTGTTAAAAAAAAGACAGAAAAGTCCATGTTCATCACCTAAATTATCTCACAAATACCAATTTAACAAATGACAGGCTGGGCTCATACATGCCTCACATGTGCTAATTTCCAAACACATTGAAGTAAACAATCTGCAATTATGTGAAATGTAATTTCGGGTAGAGCCACTGGACTCCAGTGGTCTGATGTTGAGATTTAAAGCCTGATTATTTAATTTCAAATAGTCCCTTCAACTGGGAAATCCCACCATTGGGCCACCAATAGGAAAGCTCCAAAATTGCAGATTAATAATTAGTACAGTAGTTATAAACTCTCAAACTTGTTTTTCAATAATTAATCCAAATCAAACAAATATACATTGCCCAGCAAAACACTTACAATCATCATGTTTTTTGAACGGCTGCTCAGCTTCCCTGTCCAGTACAAGATCACAAAGAACAGTGCAGACTCCAGCAACTGTTCATCTACTAGGTTGGACAAGGGAGGAGAGGGGGGCAGGGGGAGGGGACACACACAGCTTACTAGCATACACAAGGTTGATACCATAGCACTCTGCTATGGAAAGTAAAACTTTTAAACATCAAGGAGCAGCATTCATTATATGTGATTTCATCAGCATTTGAAATAGGTTAAAATACTTTTGACTTTATTATCACTTTAACTTTCTTGTAATGCTAAACCCTGACTTCTTGGAAATGTTAAACTCTGAAGAGGCAGACCTGGCCTTTGCAAGTGCATTTATGTATTCAGATTTGACAACAGTAACCTCTACTGCCAAAGGGTTGCTAATGTTCAAAATTGGCTATCCAGTGTCATGACATCAACTAACTTTGTGGCTTTCCACATGTTCACATGTCAAACTAAATTGGTATTGGAGGACATTCCTTAGTCCGGTACTGGGATAACAGGCCTAAACAGAGAACATGTATCGGTATAACACTAAGGAGCTACAGAGATATGAACACGGGGGAACAGTTTATAGCGGGGTAACCAAACTTTATCCTGCCAGCTGGGGTGAAAGTACAATTTCGTCATGAATCTGCTTCAGGAAGTCATGCCTGTGGCTGTAATAGTCTTGCATTGCTTTTGTAGCTTATCTACAGCTAGAGGGCTACCCCTAGTTTATAGGGTGAAAAGGACAAGGAAGAGACACAGGCTGGGTATGGCTAAATCAGGGGCAGGCAAATTAATATAGATACTGAGAATTGCCAACAACATCTAGCAGACATCATGCAGTACTGTGTCAGGTTTACATAGTACAAAAACAGAATAAAAACATAATATCCAGCGTATGTAACAGAAGAAGTAGTACGTGTTATGTATTGTCAGCTTTAGAAATTGTAACCAGGACAATATGATACTTTATACAAGATCGTATTTTGGAGGGGGCGTTGTGGAGTCCAAATTCTAGGATACTTTTATCTTCTTTACTGAGAGTGTATTTCTTTCAGGCAATCTGGGCTGAACCATATAGTGAGATACAAAAGCAGTAAAGGAACCATAACTCATTGGTGCTACAGGAAGCGCAGCTTGTAAATTTAATGAGTAAATGTGGCAGTGTAGATAAATAACTAGAAACTGCACTAAGAAGCAAGGATTTAAAGTGAACCTGTCACTTTCCACGTTCAGGGAAAAGTACTAGGTTCTCTTTTTAGCCCTCTGACCTAGCTACTAATATTACCTTCCCTGTGTTCCCTGGACACCTTGTTTACCCACTGCAGCTCTAAATAGAAAGTTCTGTGTAAGCTCTGTTATGTTTTTTGTCAGAGCTTACACAGTACTAAGGGCCACCAATCATCAGACCCAATGGTACAATGCATGGGCTTGGAGAACAGCTGTATTGATGCCAACACTGCACAGTAGAAGGAAGGGAGGGGAGGGTCACATGCTTCCCCATACTTGACTAGCAAATAGGATTTTTAGCAAAGGAGGTGGCCATTGATAAAAACCTTTGCCCCAAATGGGCAAAGTAACAGTTTTCTTTTGGATCACATTTCCAGATACATATAAAACATATAAACAGGGTTATTCACAAAGGGGTGAAGAGTTTGGAGAAGGCAGGAGAAGCGAACAATCTAGACCAACATAGCTGACATGGAAAGTGAGCTCAATTGGAGAATTTTTCCAAATCATCTACTTTGGCCTAGATTGTTCACTTCTCCTGCCTTCTCCAAACCCTTCACCCTTTTGTGAATAAACCTGAAAGACTTTCAATTTCCTTTTGATTCTAGAACCTCGGTATAACTGCCTTGAACTCAGCTTGTAAAATATATTAATTATGGTATTCAAGAACAGACCTAATGAACCGAATCAAATAAGAATGTGTACAGCTCCGTAAAAGGATGAGGTGTGCAGATAAATGAGTTGCTGGTCTTGCTGTATGGACAACCGCATCATGGGAAACACTGCTTCCATGTTTTGTCTTTGTAAGATTTTGTTCATAAACTGTGTTGTTTTTTTGTTCAGGTGAGTTATGATGGAGAACTACATAAGCACCCACAGCTGGAAGCTGACCTGGCGGCAGTGAGAGAAATCTATGGGCCCACCGCTGTATCTCTCAGGTATCAGTATTGGTTTATAACTGTATACCAGGCTTCAAGTGAACTGTCATTTTGCCTTACAATGGCTTCAAGTGAACTGTCATTTTGTCCTTTGACTTTTGGAGCTTTGAGCCACAAGCCCTGTGTAAGCTCCATCTCTGGGTCAGAGCTTACACAAGGCAAAGGACGTTTTCCTTTTTCTCAAACAACAGTGTTAGGGCCTAGGCATTGGCTGCTCAGGCACCATGCACTGAACTGTGGGAAGATGGGTAGTGTGTCACATGCTATCCCATATCCAGAAGTACAGAGCTTTTCACATTACTCCATCTGATGAATGTGCCAGCAGGGTTGCACAGGAAAAGTAAATATATATGAAGGAAGCAGGCTATGAGATGACCCTGTTACTTTGACCATTGAGGTGACCCTGTTACTTTGACCTATGAGGTTACCCTGTTACTATAAGGTGATTCTGTTACTTTGACCTATGAGGTTACCCTGTTATTATGAGGTGACTTTGTTACTTTGACCTATGAGGTTACCCTGTTACTGTGAGCTGACTTTGTTACTTTGACCTATGAGGTTACCTTGTTACTATGAGCTAACTTTGTTACTTTGACCGATGAGGCTACCCTGTTACTATGAGTTGACTTTGTTACTTTGACCCACCTACCCATGTTGCTCATTGAGCAGGTGGCCCCATTTTCCAGGTTCAGATCCTACCTGAGCTCATCCCTAATGGAAGTGAATTTAGAGTGTGTATTTAGTAAATGTTAGATTGTAAACTCCTTCAGGGACATAGACAGATGTACACGATTCTGTATACTGTCGTTTGTACATTACACTGTTGAACTGTGCACTGTATAAAGATTCATAAATTGTACGCTTGCTAATATTTATATGCTGTGTGATCCACATGTCATAAGAACTAAGGAATTATTTCATAAGTTGCTTTTTGAAGCTGATCCACATGTCATAAAAACTAGAGAATGTTCTTATAAGTTGCTTTTTGAAGCCAAGCATTTTGAAGATGAGTAGTTTTTCTTTCTTATACGTGATTGAATAATATTTCGCATTTCCTCTGTCCTTCAGGGAATATGGAGCAATTGATGATGTGGATATCGATTTGCATATTGATGTTACCTTCCTTGATGTAAGTCTTTTGGTTTTCATTCAAAAAGTATATAAAGTAATCTTGAGGTAACATTAAAATGTTACTGTTAATGTTATGAATATAGAATATGTCTTTATCTAAACTGAGATATGAAAGTTATTTTTCTCGATGTGCTTTGGTCGACCCATTGATTGTCACATATGAAATACATTCCTTTTACATTGATTACAATTTTCTGACTAGATAGAACTTTGGACAGGTCATTTGCTATCTGTATCCCTGTTCAAAAGATATATTTTCTCTTTCTGTTCTTTCTGCCGCTCATCACCTGAACAGGAAGTGATGATAAATCCCCCTCATGTGGACACACTGCTATGACAAAGCTTTTACACCTTGTAGTAAAAATGTTTTTTTTATTTCTGTGTTTCCATTGGGTGGATTTCTTCTCACTTCCTGTTCTGTTAAATTAACAGGAAGTGAGAGCAAATTTCCAAACAAGGGACACATAGCACAGTGGACAGAAGTTCTGAAATTTCCACACGTTATCCAAAACTAAAACGAGAAGGTGTTTGCTACAGGGCTTTTAGTGGCTGCAGATGCATATAATGCTTTGTCATATAGAACCACTAAACCAAATTTTCTTTCAGTTACAGAACATGGTTGTGATAACACACAGGGTTCAGTCTGAAACCAGGAGCATAATACATGACATTTTTCTGATTGCTTATTTTTGGTTTATTTTAGTCCCTATGGAGTTGTAGCAATTTCCTGGTCTGCTGATGTCTAATTAGTGAAATACAAATGACATATTATTCAGCTTAGTGAATAAATCAGAATTTTCATTGTTTTTTGTCATGGTATTTTAGCACCAAATTTGCAAACCTTGAGCTTCTGCTAAAGAAGAATTATCAGTCGTTGGTCTTTATATGTTGACAGTGTGTATCTAGGTGTTAAAAGACTGATTTTGGCTTTGGTAAAGGAAACTTGTCATGAGAGAAGGCCACCATTGTTGACCGAACATGCTGGTCCAATGGACTTTAATACTTTGAGTCATTGACACTGAAGTTCTACCTTCACTCAGACTTGACTTGCTGAATAGTTTAATAGTTGTTTGTGATCTGTTATTTAGAAAGTGTTGAAGCCACGGGCAGCTCGCATTTTCAGAAGGAGAGCAAAAAAACATCATCCATACCTCCCTCATGATAGGATATACCCACTCTCCCTCTTCTCTATGCCCTCCATTTAACCACAGCACTTTCCTTCTTCTCTATACGTCTCACCCTCCCAACCACTGCCCCACTCTCCCTCTTCTCTGTGCCTCTTTCCCCAACTCAGACTTCCTCTTCCCTATGTATGCCTGCCTTCCTTTTTATCACCCCCCACTTAGCTTATTTCTCCATGCCAGCCCTTTCCACCAACCCATGTTCTTCCCATAGCTTTCCTCCCCCAGACCCTTGACCCATGATCCTCCCTCACTTTCCCCTGCTCCTTGTCTATCATATCTCTATCTCTCTCTTTCTCTGCCTTGCTCTCACCTTTTTGTTTTTCTTACTAGCTCCCTCTTTTAAATTATCACCTTGCTACATTACCAATTTCATTACACATTCGTCTTATTGACGGTATGGGCTTATCTTTTAGAAGTATCAAATATCAGCTTTAATTTCCTATTAATAAGCTCCAACTTTCACATACTAGAAATATATTCCAGATGATAACCATGACTCCTTCACTATCTACAGGTGAAACTCGAATAATTAGAATATCGTGCAAAAGTAATTGCAGTAATTGCTGCAAAAGGGGCCCAAACCAAGTACTGAGTACATATGCATGCTTGTACTTTTCAGAGGTCCGATATTGTTCTATGTACAATCCTTGTTTTATTGATTGCATGTAATAATCTACTTTTTTGAGGTTGTGGATTTGGGGTTCTTGGGGTTTTCATGAGCTGTAAGCCATAATCATCACAATTATGACAAATCACGGCTTGAACTATCTTGCTTTGCATGTAATGAGTCTATCTCATATATTAGTTTCACCTTTTAAGTTGCATTGTTGCATTAGTGAAATAAATGAACTTTGCACGATATTCTAATTATTCGAGTTTCACCTGTATATATTTCTCCATCGGTCTGTCTGTCTATCTCTTTCTGACAGCATGGTATGGATACTAGTTTTCTAATGCATTTGCTTCTTTTATGTCATTCGTCAGGAAGAAATTGCTGTAGCGTGGGATGTGATCCGCACAGAGCCGATTGTAGTTCGCCTCCACTGTTCTCTCACACAGTATTTAAATGGCCCAGGTTAGTAGCAGTTCAGAGTTAAGTCTTAAAGGGAAACAGTAATTTTTATTTTAGGATACCTTTGACTGGCCCAAATTACAAATACTTTGCCACTTAAAAAAGTAAACGTTTCCTTATGGAAATGTTAGTTGCCTGGCTGTCTCTGGCCTGGATGTTTTTTGACTTATGGATCTGACTCGGATCAAGCATGCAGCTTCTGATGCCAGAGCAGATTCAGAATTCCGCAAGGTATGGAAGCCATTCAACCAAACAGCCAGGCAATTTTTATTTTTAGTAGGTGAGTTCAGTAATGACAGTCAACTTATTTTCTCAGCAAGAAGCGCACCTACAACAATTTGCACCCCTGGCGCCCCGTCCAGCTTCTGGCAACCGGTGACGTTACTTGTTGCCAGGATCTGAGCGGGATGCTGACTAGATGTCCCTAGATGCTAAGATCTAGGCGGGGAGATGTGTAAGGACTATGCTCTTAGCAACCCGGACACTCAGGCTGGCGTCCCACCAGGATATACATCTCGCCACCATCTCTGGTTGCTAAGAGATGTGTATGGGCCTGACCCACAGTGACCTCTTGACTTTTTTTTCTCTCCCCACCCCTCCTCCATACACATCTACCTGCCCTGGTTCTTAGCAACCCAGGACGCTCTGGCTGGCGTCCTGCCCAGCTCCTGGCAACCAGTGATGTCACTGGCTGCCAAGAGCTGGGCAGCACACCAGCCAGAGTGTCCCTGTTTGCTAAGAGCCAGGCAGGGAGATATGTATGGGAGGGGGGTGGAGAGAGAAAGAAAAAGTCAGAGGTCACTGTGGGTCAACAAACTTTTGCTGACCCAAAGATGGTTGCCCCCCTTCAAATGGCGTCCAGGGCATCTGCCATATGTGCCATACCCTGGATATTCCACTGTTCTCAACAAAGGTTTACCTTCAGTGGCATCTGTCGTCAAAGCAAAATGCTGGAATGAGAAGCCCCTGAAGGAAGCTGCCATGCTGTGCAATGGAACCTGTTAGGCTTCACTGCCAGCGATGGATGATGCAAGCAGAACCTGACTATGAGTTTGGGGACAGCAGCTGCAGACAGAAACTTCTGAGTCCTAGTTACAGGTTCCCTTTAATAAATTTGTGCACAATAGTCAGTCATGCTATTTCTCTTTTTTTGTTTTTGTTTTAGTGCCAACAGTCGACGTCTTTCAGATATCTACAAAGGAAAAGTTCGGTTTGGGACACCAGTTGAAAAAGTAAGTGAATGTTACAAACTCGTCATTATTCTGCTAATGTGACCTTTGCCCAATAACAGGACTGAAGGCTGCCTTAGGCACAGCTGAATAACGATGCCTTTTCGTGCAAGCTCCTCCTCTTGTGTCATGTGACTTTAAAACAACGGCGTCAGTGTAACAGTGTTTCATGTTACCAACTAAATTTGGGTGATATTTAAGTTTTGCATGTCTCTTCTGCCAAAAATCCCTACCTCCCAGACATTTTATTTTAACTTAACTTCCGCTTTAGGTGTCAATCTATCCAACAGTGTCACCCACTGGCTTCTGATATCTCATGATATCTCAGGACTCCAGTGGTAATATCTTCCTGATATAGATCTAGGTCTGTGTCTGCATGCCTGGGAGTTTGGGATGTCCCCGTCCACCTTTGGGTCTTGTTGAATTCTACATAGTATTAAATAAAATAAATGTATCTCCAGGGATATATAACACTGAGTTAAAGTGATGATATAGTGAAAAGGATTTAAGCTATTTCTAATGCTGATGAAATCGCTTACAATTGATGCTGCTTCTTGATGATTAAAAGCTTCCAGCAGAATCAACTGGTGCCCTATTGATTGGCCCTGCTATCCTATTTTACAGTGGCTCCTTTCCCTCGCAGGGTCCTTTTGAGTCATCCTTATGTGTGCTAGTAAGCTGTGTGTGTCACCACAAACACACAGACACGGCAAGTCACTTCCCTTCTCCCTCCTCCTTCCCCCTCCAAGCTAGTAGATGGACAGCTGCTGGAGTTGGAGAGTTTAATTCTACTATAGCTCACATCTACCAAGTCTGAAATATTCATTTTGGGTAGGTTAACCCTCTTTATACAGTTAGGGTCCATTCATATCTATGGTTTAGTTTTTGTTTTCACTGATGCAAAAAACTGCTTTTAACCTTTTCGCTGCTAAGACTTACCTCGGTGGCAGCGGGCCCATTTAAACAGACTAAAGCCATGGGGACTCTGCTTACAATTGTAAAGCCAGCTGCCGACTTTAGACGCAATTCTGCTGGCTCAGCTGCTGCCAGATCGCTTCCACGGTACGGTAAAGTGGCCGCCCCCCGCCCAACACCCCCGCCATATTTTCGGGGCTCTGCTGCCCCTTCTGCGGACCTGGGACTGGCATCTCGCGGCAGGAAGCTGGGGAGGAAAGCGGCGACCTTCCATTCACCAATCTCCTCCTCGTTCTATGGGACCGGGAGTGACGCGTATTTCATCACTTGCGGTCCCAAAGCTATCACTGCTCGTCTCCTGAAGCGCAGCAATAAGCTATTGAAGTGCGATCTGCACTTCAATAGCTTATTTAAAGTGGAAAGGTGACACTAGGGGTCTTTAGGACCCCCAGTATCACCTTAAAGAGGATCTGTCACCTCCAATATGCTATCACATGGGGCCCCCCTATATGATAGCAATTAAAAGAGAACTATGGGGTAAGTGTTTTTCCCTATAGTTCTCGTTAGGGTCACTGGAGGACATATACTAACTTCCTCCCGTGGCCCAAAGCTCAGTATATAGCGGGCTATTGTCCGCTATATACTGAGAGCGCCGCAGCCGGGACGGATCCCGACAATACTGTCTGGATCCACCCAGCTGCATGAGTGATGGCTGGCTCTGCCTATCTAGAGGCAGAGCCAGCTGTGCCCACCCCCTCCCCTGTCCATTCTTCCACTCAGCGCTAAAGGATTGGAGAGGGGGGAATCCCTGCGGGGAGCAGTGACTGACAGTCACCGCTCTTTGCAGGGAGATGATCAGAAAGTGAGTGAGCGATTGTATGTGTTTGCTCATTTCCTGATCAATAGAGCCGACAGCTTCTTTGTCACAGGTCGGCTCCTTTAAAGTAAAGTAAAAGTGCAACATAAAAATGTGCAACTTCCCCATTTTATTCTACAGGGTATTGGCTTTCAGAAAATATTGGGGTTTGAAGTAATTTTTAGGCCTAACATCTGCATTATAACATGTATGCAAAAAACAAAGGCCCTGGCAGCGAAAGGGTTAATGGGCCCTTAAAAAAAAAATTACCTTTTTTTGACCAGCTCAGCACACCACAAAACACGGCACATTCAAATCTGTGTGTATATCTCTACACATGTCAACACATGCAGACAAGTGTCAATTGAGACAGAATATCAGTGCAATGTTTCTGCTGCCAGACTGAAAATGAACAAAGAAATTGAGTTGCCGTGTTTGAACCTCCCAGGCACCTACATTAATATTATTATTATACAGGATGTATATAGTGTCAACAGTTTCCACAGCACTTTACAAAATAAAGGTTGACAATACAGTTACGATACAATTCAGTACAAGAGAATTAGGAGGGTCCTGCTTGTGAGGGCTCACAATCTAAAAGAACATGTAAGGATTGAAGGGTTAGTTATAGTGAGTGATAGCTTGAAGACTTGTATCTGCCACCTTACCATAGAAATGCCATGGATGTGGAAGGCCCCTTTCACACAGGCAGCAGCTGTTCTGATCAGCAGAGGGTGCTTGCACAGAACCTCTGCTGATCGGAGTAGTATGGAATGGATGCGACTTTTGTCTTTCTGTCCATGTACCTTCAGTTTTTCAGAACTAAATGGACTCAAGTTAGGTCTGTGGCCAGTCTGATGTAAGCAGGCATTTACATCTGATTACCTCTGATCCATCATGTTCAGGTCCACCATAAGGCCTCATTTACACGAGAAAAGGCCGGCACGTACAGCTCCGTGCTGCGTGCACAGGCATATCGGGCAGCTCCCGGGAATGACAGCTGCTGCGTCTGATTAGTACGCAGCTCCTGTCCTTCTCTATGGGAGTACGTGGCCGTATGCCGCTCTATGTTCACCCCAAGTGCAGGTCCGTACGGGTGCGGGTGTCCCGGCTCGGACACAGACAGGATCCATCCTATCAGCGTACGAGTATGGACACCCGCACGGACGTGCAGGGCGGGTGAGCAGGGGGGTGAACTACAAAAGAGAAGGACAGGGGCTGCGTGCTAATCACACGCAGCACCTGTCCTTCCTGGGAGCTGCCCTTTTTCTCGTGTGAATGAGGCCTAATTGAACTCTACTCCATACCTTTTTCTTCATACCTAGACAGACTCGGAGGTAATCAGATGTAATTGGACACATGCCCGTTTACACCTGGCTGCCCCTAGAGTTACATTGGGCTTCCTATAAGATCCACCTGAAAAACTGACAGGTGAATATGATCGGACCACCCGTGTGAAAGGGGGCCTTGTACATGGAGAAGGCGAATTTGGTTGGATTCCACGTATTGCACAGAAAACACTCGTTATTCACTGATTCTTATTATTAATGTTCACACAGGATCATGCAGACGTTTGTAATGCAGCAATGGAAACAGAGCAAAGAAAAGTTGATTTGTTCGCACAAGAAGATGTCGGAGAAGAAGGTGAAGTCTCCACTGCACATTTTTTCTACACTGCGCAGGTACGTTATCACAAACGTGTCTACCAGAACTCCTCTGACTCTACGGTTACATACGTGTCTACAGCAACCACAAAGTGTACAGACTCGAAGAGCTATTTGTTTCCTGTCAGACCGAAAGTTCACAAGAAACCTCATTCTCTGTGTACTTAGTCTCACATTTCTTTATCTGTTAGATGTCAACTAAAGTATAACTGAAAGATCAAATCTTCTACCATGATTGCTCTGTGGTTATATTTCTACTGTGGTTGTCTCACATGGAGTATTAACTGTTAGCATACAGCTAAATACAAAGTTGGTATATAGTACATGTACATTATATGAACTTTTTTACCTGCCAAGCTAGTTGTCATACTGACTTGCCCCACTTGTGATTCATCATGTCTCGCTGCAAAGCCAGGATTTATTTATTGCAGGCTGACAATTTACACAGCACTTTACATGCACATCATGCCCTGTCCTCAATGAGCTTACAATAGGTCCTTATGTTACATATACGGTTTAGACTGGAGCTAATTAACCTAGCAGCATGTCTTTGGAATGACAGAGAAAGCTCACACAAGCACAAAGAGAACATGCAGACTCCATGCAGGTGAATTCCTGGCCAGGATTCAAACCCAAGACCCAGGTTTTGTGCTGCTCAGGATTCTGCATCATCTTTCCTAAACCCCAGTCTACACACTATACTAAAAGGGTAGACTAGAGGTCATCCTATACCTTATTTTTCCTTTAATCATGATTAAACACCTCCCTCTTCCTCCAGCTTCCAGTGCCTGAAACATTTTAGCATGGTAGTATTGTTCAATGCAGTTAGGTGTCATTGGCTCATGGTGAGGGCACTGGTATGCCTACTCTCAACTTGATATTGGCTTTAGGGGAGCTTTGGATATAACCTGATATATGATCATAACTTACCCTAAAGTGATTGTGCTAGCAGCATTTAAATAATAAATGTAAATCATTTTGAATGAATACATGTCTAGAACAAAGCCGGCCATACAGCAGCAGAATTACATTCGAAGATGTTTATTTTCGCAACGTTCATTCAATTTTGTAATTGTTAATGGGAACAAATCGACAATCATTTTCTACCATAGTCAGCCAAAAAATTGAAAGAGACGGATACAAATTTGTTATCAATTCTTAACTAGACAAACACAAATTCTATTAATGTGGTTATTGTTGTAATGCGCATGTGCTTGGAATTTTTTAACCTGGAAGTAGAACTTTTCTTATCACAAACATACATTGGCATATACTTTCCTGAAATGGAACGTTAGAATTTAACACATTGGCTTGGCAATCAAATGAAATATAATTTGAAATTTGTCGAGCTCATGTATAATGGAATGCTTTAGCAAGTTATTTTTCTGAAATTTTGTCCAAATGTCAGAATGAAATTCTACTTATGTATGGTTAACGTAAGACTAACAGACCTCTATTTACATATAAAGGAGAGCAAATAACACTGTTCAGCACTATGGACAGCTCAGGCCGGCAAATTCACCAGCCAGGTTCAAAGGTGTTTTACAAATGTCTATGAAGGTAGCATTCGCTGTTCACTGGATGTCACATTCATCTGGCGCACATTCACACTGTTATTGATTGAGTGGACATAAGATGCCAGTGGTATGTGGACAAATGTCACCAGGATGAATTGCTATAAAAGATTCATTGGTAATTTGCCATTAAACCTTTAAACGTATATCTTACCATCTTACCATGTATAAATAGTAAATAATTATTGTCTAAGGACTTGTTCACACCAATTACAGTGCGTTCCCCCCCTTCTTTGTTCTGGGGTGTGGTGGGGCATTCAAGTCAATGGCCTGCAGCCACCCCCCAAAGATCAGTACAGCCACTGCATTTGTCAACCTGTCACTGATTTTTTACATCCATATGGGGATGGATTAATGGCCCTGGATGCAGTCTGTCTGAGTCCAGGGCCTTGTATTTGTCCCTGCAGGGATGTGAACAGTCAAATGTGATTTATACAGCTGCTGCGTCTGTCAGCATGTCATTGATTTTTTACAGGCCGGTGGCCTAGGTTGCACAGAACAGCTGTAATTTCTGGGCACATAAACACACGCATGTACAGCCCTCTCTGGTTGTGTGAATGAGCCTTTATATGTATTTTATTTGCATATTTAGCTGGTTGCCAGGTGTCTTTTCAGCTTTAAAGTGTCAGTCACTTTTCAATGGGGTTGGTTTCTGTTGGTGACTGCATTTTGCATGATGCTCTTTGTCGTATTAAGTAAACCAATATGTTATTCTAACTATATACTCATTGAGGCCAGAGAAAGCATACACTGACTTACTTCCCTATTTTCATAGGTCGCCAAGTTATCCCCCTCCTGGATGTGGTAAAAGCAAAGTGAAGCTGAAATCTGAGCAGGACGGTATCTCTAAAACCCACAAACTCCTGAGAAGGACTTGTTCTAGCACAGTGAAACCTGAAGACATGTGTAACCCAAAATCTCACAGGAACTTTGGCCGGTCGCTGTCCAGTGACCCCAGGGCGGAGCAGCCGATGGGCTTGAAACCACACAAACTTTTGAACCGCCAGTGTTCTACAGCCATTAAGCAGGAGGAATGCATCCCCCTGAAACAACATAAACTCTTAACTCGTTCTTGTTCTGGGGACCCCAGATGTGAGCACAACAGCACCTTGAAGCCGCATAAACTTTTAAGCAGGTCTTATTCTAGTAATCTTCGTATGGAAGAGTTAGATGGACTCAAGAACCACAAACTACTCAGCAAGACCTGTTCCAGTGCCCCTAAATCATCCAAAATGGACCTTTTGAAAGAACCTATCGCAGAGGGCAGGAGGCTCTCTCTTACCTCAGGGCTGATTGGTATATTAACGCCAGCTGCATCATCACAACCTGCTGTGCGTACCCCGGTATTGTTAATATTTCTTGTTGTTTGCTAATGCTCTATCAGGTTTCAGCCACTCTAGTTTGAAGGGAATATTCTATAGGAATACACGATCTTCCATTCCTGCTTGAAGGCGCATTCTGTGATAAGCACATGCTTATCCCAGGCCAGTGATTCACAAAGTAGAGGAGCAAGGATAAGGATGACAGCCGTAGAGCATGTGTGTTCAAAAACAAGTCAGCAGTGTCAGCTCTTGTATTTGTACTTTGACGAGTCACCTTTGAAGCCTAATTGAACTTTCAGTTTAAATGAGCTAAATATATTCCAGGTGCATCAAGACAAAAGGCATTTAAAGGTTTACAGTTCATTTTGTTTTGAAAGCTGCCACTGCCTGAGTTGAAAAGTGTGTCCTCTGCTAGTATCCTGCAGAGTATGACCTTTGCTCTCCATGTGGAAACAGTGGTCTCTTTGCTGCTTTGCAGAGGTCTAACCAGTTCCAAGTCATGCTCTATGTTGATTGGGGAGCATAGCTCTCACAGCAGTGGCTATGTTGGACGTCTGCAGAGAGACCACTGCTTCTACATAGAGAGCAAACTCTGCAGCAAGCTTTCAAGGGACAGACTTTTCTTCTCATATTGTGGCTGCTTTAAAAAAAAAAAAAAAGTGTAAGAGTTTGCACACCTTTTGTTTTGATGCACCTGGAATGTATTTAGCGGAATTAAACTGAAAGTTTAATTGAGCTTTAAACATTTCATAGATTTTTTATGTTTTGGATGGAGCAGGTGGGTTAGGTCCCCTTCAGCAAGCAGCTTTTTGTTGAAAGCTGAGCTTATTTTTTCCCAGCCTGTCTTTTATGCCAAAGGGTGGAAGGACACCTCGCTTATGGATTCCAGCACTTCCCAAAAAAAAATTCTAACCAAAACATAGAAATTAATTACAAGCTGGTTGCTCAGTAATTGAAAAACCTGCTTCAGGGCTGGTGCAGACCCTGGCCATCCGGGAGGCGCATCCTCGGACAGGCAGTTGCACACAGTGGTTGCCGCGTGGCCCCATTGATTTCAATGGAGTTACATCTGCGTGGCCCCATTGATTTCAATGGAGTTACATCTGCGTGGCAATTGCAGGCTTTAGCCGCAATCGTGTTTGATTGCACGGGCGGAATTGCGGTGGGAAACCGCGCGTTCCACCCGGTGTGACTGGGGTTTCATTAAAAAATAATGCACGCCAGGACGATCGGCGGTGGTGGGCGATTCTGTTACCGCGCGGCCATCCGTGCAGTTTCGTGCAGGATTGCCATGAGGTCACGGATCGCCATAGTGTGAACCTGGCCTTACTTAAAAGGTGAACTTCAGGCAAACATCTAAATACACAGATGAAATACGAAAAAAATAGCTGTTTTTACCTGAATACAAATGAGTTGTATTACTATTCATTCAGTCCTGAAATTTACACAGCCACATAAGACAGCACAGCTTTTCAGTTACAGTGAAGGAACCTAGTGGTGTCATCTCACCATCCCCGGCCTGAGTGAAATAACACAATGCTGTCCCCCTCCCAATTCGATGTTGGCTGTATAAGGGATCACAAAAGGCTGATATCAAGTCAAATTTAGGTTCTTAACGTACACATTTATTGATACATTAATCTAATGATTTTTGTATTTTATATCTGCCTGTAGTTCAGCTTTAACTCTTTTTATTATCTTTTAATAGTGAAAGACTCCACCCAATACAGAACTATCAGTAGAATCTGTTCACTCCCTGATATGCTTCTTATACAGTATGTCTCATAGACTCCTCTGAAGATATTTGCATGCAGCAGTTTGTATATCTAAACTCTTTCCAGAAATGTATTCTATATCAGGGGTGGGCAACCTTGGCCTTCCAGCTGTGCTTTAACCACAATCCCATCATCCCTCTCTGCCTCTTAGGCCTGGTTCACACCTGGGCGCTTTACAGCGCTGATCGAAGCGCTGTAAAACGCTCAAACTGTCAAGTCCCATTATGATCTATGGGCATGGATCCCACCTGGGCGTATTTCCGAGCGTTGTGACGCCCTACGCCCAAAGAAGTACATGAGCTTCTTTGAGGTGTTTTTCTGCACGCATCCATTAGGATACAGCCGGATAGCTCTTGTAAACGCGCGATTGAAACGCGTTTCGTGGACCACAAATCGCGGTAATACGTCATACGCGCATATTACGAACGCCCAGGTGTGAACCCAGCCTAAGAGTCATATCTGTGGCTGTCAGGGTCTTGCAAGGCCTCATGGAGTTGTAGTTCCACAACAGCTGGAGGACCAGAGTTGCCCACCCTTTTCTATATTGTAGATTGATTATTAGAGGAGTGACAGTAATAATTGGCTCAGTGATAAATCATCCAGGAACTGGTCACTCTGGCAGAGATCACTTAACACTGAACCCTTATCAGATTGTAAACTTCTTGCCAGCAACCAAAACCTTACCAATACAATTATCTTTCTGGGTCCTATTTGAACACCTCATGTCTGAGGGTTCATACATACAACCTCGATATCAGCTTTTCTCAACTTTTTTTATAATCACAACACCCTTTAAAAGTATAAAAAAAATATTGGATTTTAAGGGATGGACTCCACACAAAAACAAAAAAAGTGGGGTTTCCTCTTTACATCAAATCCCCCCTTCAAATTAGAGCCCCCCCCTTTCACATCAAAATGCCCCTTTACATCAGGCCCCCCCTTCATAATAGAAGCCCCCTTTATATCATAATCCTCAGTCATCCTTTATATCAGAGTCCTACCATCCCAAGATTTCAAGGCACCCCTGAGGAAGCCAGAAGGCACCCCATGGTGCCACGGCACATTGGTTAAGGAAAGCAGCTCTATGCCAATATCAAATAGAATTGAAATATCAAACAGTTACATTACAAACAATCTTTAATTTGATAAAGATATCTAAAAACCTTTAAACCTTCAAGAAGGCCCCACTTCTACAATGACAAACACACGTAATCAAACATCCCCTGGATTCTGAAGCTATCCCCAACCTGCCACCACCAATACATGGGTATCTCTGTATAACCGGGTACCGCGGCCGCTTACCATGGGTATCTCTATATATTTCCTATATGTACACCTGCTGACCTGACCAGGAGAGGAAGTAAGGGAAACTGATACAGCGCCAACAGTTTGCACAGCGCTATACAATAAAGGGAGACAGTACATTTACATACAATTAAATACCAGAAGATTAGGAGAGACCTGCTATTGAGAGCTTACAATCTAAAATAACAATGTGACAGGTTCACATAATGGAATTACTCAGGTTTTTGGGGACTGCAAGGTATGTGGTATAATGCCCTTGCTGTATATACACTGAGTGGCCAGATTATTATGACCAACCCATCAGTAGCTGTATTTCTAGAATCCTTCTGAAGATGTGACTTTGGCTTTTGTTGTCATTGTCATTGGCTGTCATAACTTGGGTGAGTTGTCCTTGCTGTGGCCTGCTTATGCAATGTACTGAAAACAAGAGTGCAGAAATTCCCAGCTGTCCTTATAATGACAATAAGATGAATTGCTTATATTGATTATCCTAATGACTCTAATGATAGCTACATATATTGTATGTTGTAGGAAAGCCTTCGCCTCCTCTTTTATATCTAATTAATTAATCTGCCAGCAGCAGCTTTCTTGGTCCTGAATTTTAAAGCTTTTCATCCTTTGGGACATGGGCTCATGGGCAGGACATCTGTCTTTGCCTTGTCGCCTTGTTGCCTGCTCAGTGGAAAGTGAACGCAGCTTAAATGGGCCGCAAAGTTGTAATCTGCTTGATGCTGTGAAAGGTTCTGTGTCGGCACTTCAGGTGTCCGTACACATGCAAATCTGTGTTCCGTAATGCCAGGGGATTGTACAACTGCCTGTCCGTAAAACTGACCACATTGCTGAACCTTCTGTGATCTTCATACTTCTCCTGATTCTGAGCTTTAAAGAAAAGGGAACCAGCAGTCGTAACAATTTTTTACTTTCAAGATCCCATTAAAGGGTCAGTTTACCTAAAAGTGATATTTTAGTTATTGATGCTGACTGGCGAGCCCCTGGCTGCCTACATGCTCTAGAAATGCCAATAGCGAGAGCTCCCTGACATATTTCCCAACCCTGTTCCTGCCTGCCTATGAGTTTTATGTGTTCTCTCTCACCATTGTGTGTCCCAGCTCCTTGTATTCTATTCTACATAATATAAATACATAAATATCCCAACAGGGTAGGTAGCATGAGATCCCCATATATAGAACATATATACACCCAGGATCTTTAAGTGTATGTAAACCCTAACAATTAACATCTCTTTTTTTATTCCTTTTTGGTCTGTTAAATATGCCATTTAAAGTGTTGTCTTTGTTTGTTTGATAGATGCAAAAATACCTGTTAATCCTGCCAAAAAGTCTAGTAAGCTGATAACTTTATGCACACTCTGCTTCTGCTGACTGCTTCTAATGGTTATCAGTTACCATCGCTTTCTGTGGATTACAGAACCCCCCTCCACCATGTTTTGGGGAGGAAGAGGGGGAGTTCTGTAATCCTAACACACTGCCTGTTCTAGGGTGACAACATCAGTCTTGCATAGACATAGAACAGTTGTCCTGTCTCAACCACCGATTTATGTATTTAAACATAGCTCCTGACCCCCGTTTGTACAAATCTTATGATCATCTACTGAGGTGGTGGAATCCACAGACAGGGTCCAATTCACCAAGAAGACTTAGAGAAGAATCCAGTGTAGTTTATTCAGGCTAGACAATACAGAGGATGTGATTCCTTGTCATTCACAGATGTGGAAAGACATTTCTTTCTGGAAGCCTTGTAACACCAAGTTTAGAACCCTCTTAACACAGGGAGGGAGACGGTTAAACAAAAATGGGGAGGAGAGGTTGTGAGTGTCTTAACTAATTAGCTGCACCAATATACACAAAACAATATGGGTTAAGGGCCTCGACACACCATCAAGAGTGCGTTCGGCCTCTGGAATGCACTGGAACACAACCCGGCCAGCTCACTTAGTTTTGGGGCGGGAGAGGGCGGGGCATTTAACTGAATGGCACTACAGCCACTGCCCCAACCACGGTGCGATCGGCGGCACCCGAACGCGTGGCACATTAAAAAATCTGCCTTATAACCTATATTTAATTATGTATCACACTTGTCACTTTACGGAGCATGGTGAAATAAAGCCATTTTAGGAATATTTACCATGGACACCCTTCTTTTAAATAATCAGATTAGTAAATGAAGAGACACTCGTGGTATTGCCTAAGCAAATGTTGATGGGCCCCAGAGTCTTGTTGCCTTGCAATCTCCTTGCCTATTTACTTCACTCTCCACTGCCCAGGGCACATTTAGACAACATGCTGTCATAGGCTTTGCTAAATGAGATAGCCCTTTTGTACAAGCCGTGCTCTTTGTGTCATGTGTTTATTTCACTAAAAAGTAATGGTAGAATGTGCTGTTGGAAGCAACATGGTATCTGATTTATCTACAGAGATGACTTGTACCAATACAGGCCACCAAACAAGAGAAAGGAGAGAGGGCCAGAGCATTCGGTGCTCCATAGCTGCACATGAACAAAGGGGCAGGATGCTTGTGCTGATGTCATTCACCTTATATGGCCCTATTAGGTCAATTGAATTCCCCGGCTGCTGCTGAAGGAGCTGCCTTCCGAGTTTGGAGGAGCACCGTCTGTGCTTGGAGAAGCTCAGTTTCGGATAGGATTCGTTCTGAACCTGAGCTCATCCCTAATAAAGAGTCTTCTATCTTCTCTTAATATCCCCTGCACCGTCTTCCCTCTATGGTTCTCTTCCTGAATATAGACACAAATATCCAGAGGTGACATATAAGGGGAACAAAATAAGGATAAAGTCACAATCTGAACTTGTAGTGCTGCCCCTCCGAACCTGCTGCACAGGGCACTGGCACACAAGTGCTGTTATGTTGAATGCAAACCTGATCACAGCAGGCACCCAGTGCAAGCCTCTTGATGATTACATAAATCAACCTATGCACTATTCAGGAGCTTTGTCACCGGATTTAAGCTTTAATGTGTTAGAACTCAGATCCCAGGACTTTGAGTGGCAGAAAGTGGTTTAATTTGAGTCTGATGTAGACTTACAGTGGAGGATTAAGTTAGTAGATTGCATTTAAGGCAGAAATGTAACAGGAAATGCATGTGACATGGGTGTGTTATCAGCATAGTCTGCTCTCTTGGAACTATCAGGGTTGTTTCCTTCATCTCACAGTAGACAAAAGACCATGTGACCATGTTCTGAAACTCCTGTGATATGATGGTTTGTTATTGCATAATCCATTGTTCTCTAAGGACCATTTCACACAGATGCCTGTCAGTTCTGATCAGCAGTGGATCCGTGCATGGATCCCCTGCTGATCGGAGCAGTTCAGAACAGATGTCGGTGAACTGAATTTACCAGATCCATGTTGTTCTATGGGGAGCTGGATGTAAGCAGACATGTGTCTGTTTACATCACATTACCCCATATCCGTCAAGATCAGGGCCTGATTTTCCAGTCCTGGATGGAATCTGGGATAATCAGATGTAATCGGACACACACATCCGTTTAGATTTTGCTGCCCATAGACTAACATTGGGCTTCCTGGTCCTGATTGGACCACCCGTCTGAAAGGGGCCTAAACCACATGGCTGTGTGCTAAAAGTCCCACTGGAGAGATTTCTCTACTTGTCCTGGAGAATTAACTACAAATGAGAGGAAATGTCTGCAAAGTGAGGGGAAATCACGTTTTAGACAGCTGCCACTGGAACAAGTGTTCCTGTTCCAGTAACAAATGTAAAATTTCGGATTTCCCATCACTGCCTGCACCAGTTTTAATGGTCACCTGGATAAAAAGAGAAATGGAATCTCCCTTGCAGGTACCAGCAGCAAGCAACAGTACCAGTAACAGCAATACAAACCTGACGGGGTTTTACACTTCCCCTACTCTGTCCAACACTAAAACCAGTTTTGCCTATTTATACACTTTAACTTTTTATGTAAAGGAAACCTCTATGGAGAATAAATATAGGCTTCCACTGCTGACTTCTCCTTCAAATAGTCAACAATGACCTCTGCCACGTACCTTTTCATCACAGGTTGCCTTCAATGCCTGAATCAAATGTGATAAAGCCATGTATACCTTTCAGTGATATATATTTAAATCATTGTATGTATATTGATCTGTCTTTTAGCCTACCAATAATGCAAAAAGCATGCCAGCACGAGCGCATGGATTTCTCGTCCAGGTAATGTCATGTTCGATGTTGTTTTCATACAAATGCTGCTGTTAATATATGAGTGGAATGGTAGACTTTAAACTGTCACAATGCTTTTTCTGACTAAGAGTAGTTCACAGCAGAAGCTAATAGTGCATTCTTCAACATTTGGGACAAAACTCCACGCTGCTTCTACTCTGCATTCATTTTCCACTTGATGTCTCTGATAAATCCCCTCAGTGCTTTCAGCATTAACCTCTCTTGTTCTTACAGCTATTGGATGAGAGGTAAGGCTGTTGTCTAAGTAACATTCCTCAAGCATTGCTGGACCGTGTACATAAATGTCAGGGCTCCCAATCATGACAGAAAAGTCACAATTGATGAATTCACTAGGGATTAGTCAAATTTGGAGTTTTCATTTTCCTAATAATCCAGCAAGAAACAGCAGAGTTTGTTAAAATGTTGGTGAAATGCATTGGATGCAATGGGAATGCCAAATAAGTTGGATTTTAAGGGTGTGGTGGACTTTAAATGGCTGCTGACGGTTACAGATGGAAAGTTTCAAGGACAACGTACCTAAATACAGCGCTCGTCCAAGGGGGGGGGGGGATCAATCAGAGAAAGGAGGGGAGAAGCGCTCAAAACCAAGCTAAAGACCGGGGCGTTTTTTTGACGGTTACAGAAGCTGACGGTTACGGAAGCTCTTTTTAACTATTCTGGACCTGTGTCAAAAATGGCCCCTCAGTAACTTCATTATTTACTTTTGTTATCACAGAAAGTAAATTAAAAACACAAAGTGAACAAAAAATAGTCAAATAAATGTAAAGCGGCAGCCCACAATTAACAATCCGTTACATACAAAAAAATAGGAAACAAGCACACACACAAAGAACACTGACAGGGTTATTCACAAATGGGTGAAGGGTTTGGAGAAGGCAGGAGAAGTGAACAATCTAGGACAGCATAGCTGAGCTGGAAAGTGAGCTGAATTGGAGAATGTTTCCAAATCAGCTATGTTGTCCTAGATTGTTCACTCCTCCTGCCTTCTCCAAACTCTTCACCCTTTTGTGAATTATAGGGAACAGTGTGTTTGTATTTTATAAGGAACAATGGGGTTGGATGTTAAAAGCATTGATGTGGTTGGTGTTATGGAGTATGGTGTGGTTGGACGTTGTGGGGAACAGTATAGTTGGAAGTTATGAATCGCAGTGTGTTTGGATGGTTTGTAGAACAGTATAGTTGGATAGTATGAAGGACAGCATGGTTAGATGTTTTAGGGAACAGTGTGGCTGGAAGTTATTGAAGATAGTATGGTTGGATGTATTAGGGGACAGTTTGGTTGGACGTTTTAGGTAACAGTGTGGTGAAAGTTATGGGTAATGATGTGGTTGGATGTTGTGGGATAGAATGAGGTTGGACATTATAGGGTACAGTGTGGGTGAAAGCTACGGGGGATCATGTGCTTTGATATTATGGGGTACAGTGTGGTTGGACAATATGAGAGATGGCGTAGTTGGAATTTATGGAGAACAGCATAGTTGGATAAAATAGGTGACAGTGTTGTTAGAAATTGTTATCAGAGACATGTTGTGGCTTATGGAGGATTACTAGTAGCTGCAGTCCATAGGAGTCACACAAGCAGGGTCTTGTTATGCAATGTTTTGGTTTGTTAAGAAGTCTTCTTTGTTAATTATTATTATTATTACATAGTATTTATATAGCGCCAACAGTTTGCGCAGCGCTTTACAATATAAGGAAGACATACAGTTACAATACAATTCAAGACAAGATGGCAAGGTTAATCTGCATTTTTCATTTTTTTTCTCTAAGACAATAGAGTTTGCAGAGCAAAGAATACCTGTGCTCAACGAGTACTGTGTGGTTTGTGATGAGCCCCATGTTTTTCAAAATGGACCAATGCTGAGGGTAAGTGTCTTTGTTTACAAGTATGCCACAATATGTTATATTTGGTGCTCATGCTTCCTAGATATTTTTTTCATGAATAAATCTTTCCAAAATGATCAATATATGTTTTGTTGTGATAACTAAGCATGGGTACAGAGCTTACTTTAGTTTATTAGGTTCTAAGTAAAATGGGTCCAAGGAACACCCTAAAGTGAGGTCCCCAACTTAACCCTTGAGCCCTTCAACTTTTTCTCCCCTGGCAACCATACAAGGCTGCAGATTTCAATTTGCTTTTATAGGAACTGGAGTAATTTCCCCCATAGCCACCAATCAGATTCAGGGCAACTGTAATGCTGATTGGTGGAGGGAAAGTAACTCCAGGAAATACTAAGAAGTTGTTGCAAAAGTGGTTTGGGCACTCATACAAGAAACACCCCTCAGGTCCAAGTTGGAGTGCTGCTACCTTTTTAAGTGGTTGGTAGACCATCCCTCCCCTCTTCATTCAAACATCAAAGCATTCCTCATTAGACGGGATGTGTCCTCAGATTTACAGCCTGACATCGATGTGCCTAGCATGTTAAATTGCAGCTCCTTCAGGTACATGTGTACTTATGGTCCTGAATCTCCTTAGGGCAACCTGTCTAGAGATAGAAATAATAAAACTAACCTGTTCATAGAAAGGTTCTTACGCTGACTGTATGTCTGAACAACAATCGTGAAAACACCTTCACTTGGATCTAAGATTTTCACCAAGACTATGATGTAAATATCAAGTTTTCATAAATTTGAGGACTGGTCCGTCCAGACTACATCCGTGGTCACATGAAGATGCCTCTCCATGGGCTGCCCATATTGCATGTAAGTAGAGGGGTGGTTAAGAACTAATGTCACAGGTGTTACTTTAAAGGTTTGGGACTTTGCGATTTGCTGCTAGCACATACAGGTATCAGAGGAGCACCTTCTGTTACAAGATGAGGTTAGATCTTTCACATTTTTGCCAGACAGACATAATAATAAAAAAAATTCATAGTATATTTTTTAATTCTAGTATGTTATCCTTGTATGTTTTGAGATAATTGATACTTTTGTGTCATAATTTTGTTTTATTAATTTATCATGCGCACTGCTTCTCTTCTAAACTTGTTCTGTGAATAGTCCTGCACTTTTTTTACCACTGGCAGTTACAATCCCAATAGACTACTCATAGACTTAAGATAACCATGAGATGACCATTGCCTTATGTGACTGATGGCCATCAGATCGGGAAATGATTTGTATACTGACAGGCACACTCTGACCTCTCCTGATAGCCACTGGCCAACCAGTCTCAGAAGACAAATCGATTGTCCAAAATGGATTTCATGAGTGGCTGATACTGTTTCCCTATTTCTACTCATTAACATTAACATACATGTTCATCTGAAAAGAATGTTTATGATTTATGTTTATTAAAAAAATCATAAGTAGATCTAGCGCTAGGGTGATATTAAAGAAAACAAAATAATGATAAGACATCAACAGGAGAACTGCATGAAAACAATAGATGCCCCACAGTTTCCAATGATGTAAAACACCCACAGTGCTCCGGGTAGACAGAGACCACGTAAATTATACTAAGGCTTTAGTTCACACAAAAGAGCTCAAGTTATATTGTGTATTCATGGGTGGATTTTTAACATATTAACAATATATCATAAAAAAATGTATACTATGGTTCAGATACAAGTTCAGATACCAGTGCAGATACTTGGCATTTTCATGAGAATTACCAGGGTTGTAGTGGTTGCAGCTGGGACCTGGCTCTGGCACTCCACCACTGTCCTGAAATCATTAGTCTGTACACAATGTATCAGTACTTGTATCTGTGAGTACTTGGACAAGTATCAGTGTCACGTACGTAGTGGAGACCGATAGTTGAGGAGGCTTCCCTTGCAGCTTGTGTCTCTCAACCCTGAGCATGGGAACAGAGGAGGAGGAGTGGCAGCGAGCTGCATGAGTGCCAAGGATGTTGTAGACACTGTGCCAAGTAGGAAGTCCAGGATCTGGAACAGAGGCAGGTCAAGGAGAGCCGAGGTCAAACCGGGTGGGCAGCAGGGTACTGAAGCAGAAGACAGGAGCGAGATCCAATGGAAGCCAAGGGTCAAAGCCAGCCAAGCAGCAAAGTACCAAAACAGGAAGCAGAAGGAAGTCCAAAAAACAGGCTGAGGTCAGGAGGCAGGCAGCAATCAAGAATGGTCAGAGGCAATGCGGGTCAGCAAGACAGTGGCTAGGAAACACAGAGGACTAGCTGAAGATCATCCAGCAACTAAGGATATGGCAGGCTGGTTTATATAGGCCAATCCATTAGCAGGAGAAGTATAACTTCCTGTGCGCACATTTCCGTGCGTAAGTCCATTGCACGCACTAGCGCACGTTTTCCAGTTACCCGCCTGCGCAGAGGTACTTGGTGCCTTACAATCAGTATTTGTATTTTAAAAAAATGGTATCGGTGCATCCCTTTAATATATGTGTACAAATAAAATCATACATTAAAACAGGAATGCACAAATCCCAGGAGCTCTGTGTGCTCCTTAAAAATGACAGCTGCCTCCTAATTTTTTAATTTTTCTCTAGTCTAGTCTTGGAGCTCGAAAAGTATCTGTACTTGTACTGAGTACGGTACTTGATATCTGAACATCCCTATTTTATAAACATACACTGAGTGGCCAGATTATTATGACCACCCCATCAGTACTTCGTTGGGACACGAGATGACTCCATGAGATGACTTCGTTGGGCCGCCTCGTGACTCCACGAGATGTTGAAAGGTGATGCGAGGAATCTGACACTGCACTGTTGCCCTTCTGTTGTCTTGTACCAGTCTTGCCACTCTCCGTTCTGCCCTAACATTGACTAGTCGCTGACGGCCACAATTCGCACGTTCAGACCCAGATTTTCAGCTGACAGTCCAGTCTTTAAACACTTTACATCAACAGGAGAACTGCATGAAAACAATAGATGCCCCACAGTTTCCAATGATGTAAAACACCCACAGTGCTCCGGGTAGACAGAGACCACGTAAATTATACTAAGGCTTTAGTTCACACAAAAGAGCTCAAGTTATATTGTGTATTCATGGGTGGATTTTTAACATATTAACAATATATCATAAAAAAATGTATACTATGGTTCAGATACAAGTTCAGATACCAGTGCAGATACTTGGCATTTTCATGAGAATTACCAGGGTTGTAGTGGTTGCAGCTGGGACCTGGCTCTGGCACTCCACCACTGTCCTGAAATCATTAGTCTGTACACAATGTATCAGTACTTGTATCTGTGAGTACTTGGACAAGTATCAGTGTCACGTACGTAGTGGAGACCGATAGTTGAGGAGGCTTCCCTTGCAGCTTGTGTCTCTCAACCCTGAGCATGGGAACAGAGGAGGAGGAGTGGCAGCGAGCTGCATGAGTGCCAAGGATGTTGTAGACACTGTGCCAAGTAGGAAGTCCAGGATCTGGAACAGAGGCAGGTCAAGGAGAGCCGAGGTCAAACCGGGTGGGCAGCAGGGTACTGAAGCAGAAGACAGGAGCGAGATCCAATGGAAGCCAAGGGTCAAAGCCAGCCAAGCAGCAAAGTACCAAAACAGGAAGCAGAAGGAAGTCCAAAAAACAGGCTGAGGTCAGGAGGCAGGCAGCAATCAAGAATGGTCAGAGGCAATGCGGGTCAGCAAGACAGTGGCTAGGAAACACAGAGGACTAGCTGAAGATCATCCAGCAACTAAGGATATGGCAGGCTGGTTTATATAGGCCAATCCATTAGCAGGAGAAGTATAACTTCCTGTGCGCACATTTCCGTGCGTAAGTCCATTGCACGCACTAGCGCACGTTTTCCAGTTACCCGCCTGCGCAGAGGTACTTGGTGCCTTACAATCAGTATTTGTATTTTAAAAAAATGGTATCGGTGCATCCCTTTAATATATGTGTACAAATAAAATCATACATTAAAACAGGAATGCACAAATCCCAGGAGCTCTGTGTGCTCCTTAAAAATGACAGCTGCCTCCTAATTTTTTAATTTTTCTCTAGTCTAGTCTTGGAGCTCGAAAAGTATCTGTACTTGTACTGAGTACGGTACTTGATATCTGAACATCCCTATTTTATAAACATACACTGAGTGGCCAGATTATTATGACCACCCCATCAGTACTTCGTTGGGACACGAGATGACTCCATGAGATGACTTCGTTGGGCCGCCTCGTGACTCCACGAGATGTTGAAAGGTGATGCGAGGAATCTGACACTGCACTGTTGCCCTTCTGTTGTCTTGTACCAGTCTTGCCACTCTCCGTTCTGCCCTAACATTGACTAGTCGCTGACGGCCACAATTCGCACGTTCAGACCCAGATTTTCAGCTGACAGTCCAGTCTTTAAACACTTTAACAACAGCTGCTCTTGAACATTTAACAAATTCTGCTGTTTTGCTGATACTCGCTCCATGGATCAGAGCGCCAACAATCATTCCACGTTCAAAGGCTGTTAAATCGCGTTGTTTACCCGTATCTTCAGAAAAAAATCACTTCTACTGTCGTGGTAAACAACCTGCTTCCCTATTTATAATGGTCTGGCCCTCTAGCAACTTCAGCGTGAAATTATAGCTAATTATAGCTAATTTGCCTACAAACGTCAGGTGGTCGTAATAAACTGGCCACTCAGTGTATATATACAGTAGGTAGTTATATCCCATACAAGTATAAAATAGACAATGAATGCATCCAGGAAGTTGTACGTAATCAGTAGTTGTATTAAGGTTTGCTGAAATGTGAATTTTAATGATAGATCCAGTATAACCCTCCGAGTACCCCAATAGACTACTCTATGAGATTACTCTATAATAGCATACTATATTAGATGACCATTGCCTGATCTGACTGATGGTGATCAGACTGGGAAATGGTATATATGCTAATAGGCACACTATGACCCCTGCAGACAGCCACTGGCCAACCAATGGTATATATGCTAATAGGCACACTATGACCCCTGCAGACAGCCACTGGCCAACCAATGGTATATATGCTAATAGGCACACTATGACCCCTGCAGACAGCCACTGGCCAACCAATGGTATATATGCTAATAGGCACACTTTGACCCCTCCAATCTTGATTGAAACTTCATGGTCCAGAATGGATTTTCATGAGTTGCTACAATAAACCATAGCGAAGATTACATTTTAATGATAGGTTTGATTTAACCCTTCGAGTATGTTCGAAGTACGCATCCATTTGGTAATACCTTTGCGTTGCATATTATCATCATGCATGGGACGGAATAGACTTTTATATGTGACAATAATTTGGTCATTAACTTTCTGTCACTGTTCTCCATGTCCTATGATGTGAATATAAAGCAGCCATTTACTCCACACGGTTATTTGCCATCCTCGTAGTGGATTTGTTTGCTTTGATCATTTTAAGGTCAAAAAGAATCAACGTTAATTGGATTCTGAGCACAAAATGTAATCGTAGCGTCTCTTTTTAATACAGAGCCCTTCATTCAGTACAGAATCTTTGTTGCTGCAAATGTACGGAATGTGCCTAATGCCTTCCAAACACTGTTTGTAGACATTGTCATCTGCCAGTGTGTATTGTACTCAAATGATGAGTATTTATTACAGGTGGCATGACAAGTTTTAACAAATCGTAATTCTGTAATATGAGTAAGAGCGAGCTGAATTTTATTTTGTTGCTTAGTTAGTACAGTGTTCATTAAAGGGACATACGGACTGGCAATAGCAATCTGTCTACGTTTTCACGAGGTTGATGACATTTTAGTATAGAAGTAACAAATGATTAAAAAGGGGTATTATCATTAAAAAGACAAAAGTAAAAAAAAAAGTTATATAGTGTATATCAAGACTCCATCTGCTTAATCATGGCTGCATATATTTGGGCATAATAATCACATTTAGACCTTTTGTTTTCTTTTGCGCCCACTGCAACTCATTTTTGGTCCACAGCAACTGAATTAGATATAAAAAAGGAATAACTGCATTGTTTGCATATGTAATATAGCAAGCAGGGCCGGATTTCCCACAAGCCCAACCAAGGCCCGGCCTTGGGGCAGCAGGAAGTGGAGGGCCAGCAGGGGTGTGGAATTCCTATTCCCCGATGCCCAGGACATGCAGTTCCGGGCACCGGGTGGGTAGTTGTTTTCTACATTTAGCCCTGCTTTGTGCAAGCAAAGCTGAATGTACATCGGGGAAGCCGCCGCTTGTTTTGTACAAGTGGTCCCGGGGTTGTCGCCGAGATCACTTGTATGCAGCCTGCAGGTCTGCCATTCTCCATGGGGGGCGCATTGAGGAACCTGGCCTTGGGGCAGCAGAGAGAGTAAATCCAGCCCTGATAGCAAGTGAGAACAGGTGGCTGTCACTGAGCAAAAGACAGCTGATAAGCTAATGTAGTCAGGCAGAGATTGAAGTGCCACATTGAAATCGAGTAAAGCATCCAGATATAGATTTATTCCGAGATAAGATAAAAAAAACATAATTACAAAGCCACCCAAAGGTTACCACCGCACTGCAATGGTTAAGTGCTTGCTTTTGTCTAGGTGTTAAAAAAAATGATACTCACCTGAATTGCAGAGCCGTCTGGCTGCTACTCCGGTCCCTGAAGCCTGTATCCTCCTCCACTGCTGGGATGGCATGTTTCTCGGCTTCCTCAAGTCCTATACACTGTGCATGACCATGATGACTCAAGTATCCTTAGACCCCTGCAGAGGAGGGGGAGAGAGGCTGGAAGGACCAGTCTAAGAGCAAGCTGGCTCCGAGTGTCGGGTGAGTATTTTTTTTTAGCACCTAGACAAAAACGAGCACTTAACCCTTGCAGTGCGGGAGTAGCCCCACCTCAAAGGTTAAGAACACTTTTGCCCGGAGTTCTGCTTTAAGCAGCCTAGCTAATGACGTACAACATTATCCTCTCCACCTTCTCTAAAGAGACCAGGCCTAAGTCCTATGGATTCAATTGTACTGCAGGGATAAAGGGAGACTGGACGGTACACCTTATTGTGCATACAGAGTGGGGGAACAGTGCAGATTAGCGATGGCCACACATGTTAAAATCTGACTGTAAAATCTCCTTTAGTACCAGATCTTATTTGTGAAAGGTCATGCCTGACTGGATACAAACCGCGTGGATTATTTTACATAGTTTTGGTATGTCGGAAGATGGCCATGCACTATACCAGTGATGGCGAACGTTTTTGAACCCGAGTGCCCAAACTGCGATGCAAAATCTATGTATTTATCTGAAAGTGCCAACACTGAAAATAAGTTTAGTATTGTGTTGCAGTTTGGGCGCTGGGGTTTAAAAAATGTTCAGCATCACTGCTTAGGCACCATAGGGAAACACATATTTAAACATTTATACACTCACTAAAACACACACATCACACAGGTAATGAAACACACACACACACACACACACACTCATTAAAAAAAAACACACATCACACACTCATTAAAAAAAACACACACATCGCACATGTAATGAAACACACACATCACACACGCATTAAAACACATACATTACACACATTAAAACACACACACACACGTAATAAAACACACATCACGCGCATTAAAACACACACGCACGCATGCATTAAAACATACACATGCATTAAAACACACACAAACGCTCATTAAAACACGTGCACGTCACACACACACATAACACGCATTAAAACACACACATCACACGCACGCATGCATTAAAATATACACATGCATTAAAACACAAACGTCACACAAACACGCATTAAAACACGTGCACCTCACACACTCTGTAAAACACACATCACACACTTATTAAAACACGCACACACACATATTCAATACAACACACACACACACTCATTAAAAAACGCACACCTAATAAAACACACATCACACACACACAGAACTACTAAGAAATAAAAATGAATAATTAAAACATTGCCCCTCCTCCTGCTTACCTGTTTTGCAGGGAGGGGGCTTCATCCCTGGGGTCCAGTGGGGCACTGAGGGCATATCTTGGTGATCCAGTGGAGGATCAGTATGATCTGCATCTCTGGCTGATTCAGACCATACTAATCGCTCCTGCCCGTGAGCAATGGCACTACGAGGGAGCAATCAGTATGGTCTGCATCAGCAAGAGATGCAGATCATACTTATCCTCCACTGGCCCATCATGGGAGGATTTTTATTTATATATTGCTGGTTTGGCGATTTATTAAATAGGATCTGGGCACCTGCTAGGTTTAAAGATGGCCGCCGCTATTCGCTGTGGCCATCTTTAAAAACGTAATGACACTTTGAGACCCATGGAGCACCACAGGTGAGAGCACCTCTCCTTGGCGGCCAGTGGAGGGGAGGGGTCACAGGAGAGCGTCCTCACTCACGCTGACCCATACCAGGAACGGACGGGGGAGGGGGCGGGTACAGCTGGCTCTGCCGTGCCCGAATGCCCGTATGGTCAGTCCGCCCCTGGTGGTGCATTGAACTCAATGGCACCGCAGCTGAGCCCCCTGGCCCCAGTGCGATCGCCCGGACCCACACGTGTGACACATTAGTGCCCGCGTTCTGGTCCAGTAATCCACTGCTATAGAGGAGCCTGGACTGAAGTAACACCACATTCTGGCTCCCAGCACCTTTACAGGGCTCGAAGGGAGTTGTGCAAGCAATGGAGCTCCATCACAGCACAGCAGCCCACACTGGACCACAGGCTGAAGATCCACTACAGTTCTCGAGAGGTAGGGAGACTGGGTGGAAATACCTCTATACCTATTTTGGATTTGTATGTATTGTTTTGTGGAGGTGCACCCAGGCATTTACCTTACAAACAGGGTGCGGTGGCTACCCCTGGGACTATATATTTTTATTTATTTGTACACAATTAAATCTGAAACGTTTCGGTCCTGCGCTGCCACACACTTACATATGAATATTGTTATTTTTCAAATAATTTTTTTCTTCCAGTCCCTAATAATGTAGTGATTGATGTATCAATTCAGATAAAGGTAACCTGTTACTTTTTTAAGAATAGTAACATGGCTACAGGAACAAAATGCCAACATCTAGAGGGCCTCTACATACTTTCAGTGACCTTTAGGACTACCCCAAGAGTCCTAAAATCCAGGGTTATGTAATGTGTACTGGTAAGTTCAGAGTTGCCCTGCTCTTCCCACTTCCTGTACCTCCCTGTTGGCCAGTGACATTCTCAAATTGGGAATTGGGCAACTCAGCTTGGAACTTTTGAGAGTTTATAAAGTGTCAAAATTTAATTATTAGCATGCCCTGTGGTTCCATGGCTCCCACAGCTCTACTGAACATCTTCTATGTTATGTACAGATACCTCTAGTACATTTTATTCAATTTTCCACTTTACCGTGCTTAATATAGTGACATGAGTTTCTATGTACAATAACTAAGATCATATGTTTTTGGTTTTTTTAGCCCACAGTGTGTGAAAGAGAGCTGTGTGTATTCGCTTTTCAGACATTAGGTGTAATGAATGAAGCCGCAGATGAAATCGCCACAGGTGCTCAGGTAGGTAAAAGCAACCCTGCAACCTTAAGGAGATTAATTTCCTAAAACGAATAAATAAACTGTACTAGTGTGTAAACAGTGTTATACGCCGATCAGCCATAACATTATAACCACCCGCCTACTATTGAATAGACATGGACTCCAATAGACCTCTGAAGGTATGCTGTGATATCTGGAACCAAGTTATCGGAAGCAGATCCTTTAAGTCTTGTAAGTTGCGAGGTGGGGCCTCCATGGTTTAGACTTGTTTTTCCAGCACATCCCACAGATGCTTGATTGGACTGAAATTTGGAGAATTTGGCAGCCAAGTCAACTTTTGTTAGCTCCTGAGTAACTTCCTTGTTCTTCCATCTTTCTCTTACTTGCTATTTTGACACAGCCTTCATGGTGCTATTCAGTGAAGCCTCTTATTCTTCCGCACCCCATACAATTTCCACTGCCTGAATACTGTAATGTTTAGCCCTCTCTATTCACCATTCTTGGTAAAGGTCACCTCTTACAGTTCCACTTTTATGCAGATGATACCTCGATCTGCCTTTCCACTCCTGATTCATCTACCCTTGCCACCATAAAAACTTCAGGTTTCCCGTCTGCTATTTCTTTATTGATGTATGAGAGATACCTGAATCTCAGGGAATCCTGTCCTCATAGGAATAGTTGAACTGCAGTTGCTGACCTTTTTCTGAAAATGCTGTTGCCTGGAAATCATGCTGTTCCACTGACTTCAATACTTTGTGAGTTGGTGCCCAAATAAGTATTTAGCTAGTGATGTCAGAACTCCTTATCTAAATACTTGTTCGGGGATAGTGACTTGGAAAGTATTGGAGTTGCTGGGTCAATATAACAGCCAGGCAAGCAGTAGTTGCATCTCGGGTTAATTTCAGCAGAATACATCAGCAGTGGCAGGTTCCATATCTCTCTAAGCACAGATTGTATTTGGCCAAAATTAAGCTAACTATCCTCTTGTACACCCAAAATACAGACCAGCCATTTTCTCAAAATGCAACCAATTTCTAACCATGGAGGTCCCCGGATTGTGATGATCTTTGTCCAGAATATATTTGAATTTTCTTATATTCTTCTGTATGGAAATGGCAGATGAAGTGAATTAATGGTGATGTTTTATGTTTTTAGGTTGTAGATCTGCTAGTATCAATGTGTCGGTCTGCTTTGGAATCTCCAAGAAAAGTTGTTATTTTTGAGCCATATCCTTCGGTGGTAGACCCCAATGATTCTCAGGCCCTGGCCTTTAATCCCAGAGTAAGTACTCACTAGTATGCTTCCAAAGGCGGTACCTCAATTTAATATATGCTATTCACATTCAAGGCTCAATTCACAAAGCTTTAGACAAGGATAAGGATCATCATATTCTGTCATGTGATGGTAATTTTCATCTGTTACACTCAGCTGAAAATAACTTCCATTTTTTTTCTGGTGTTTTAGCTTTGTGAATTAAGTCTATAGTGTGTTCATAAAAGTTTCAAAGGTCATTTATTGATTGGCTGCTCAGGGCAATGCAAACATTTATCCAGGAAACCCATACCCAGGAAAACATGGGGGCCATCACTGTTAACCGTCTTGAGAAAATGCTAGTTCCCTGGCAGTATCTGGTTTCAATTACATTTCGTGTTGCTGATCCAGAACACATATGTAGCCATTGAAGGTAAAATGTTCTTTCTGACAAGCCTGAGTTGTACTCTCCACAATATAGAAAGAATGGTTCCCCCTGGTAATGGCAACAACAGGTGTACAGAGGTGGAGACTCACCACACTGGAGTTCCCAAGTTCATTGGTGTTCCCAGTCAGTTTTTGGGTGGAATAGGTCTTCATCTGTTTTTTTTCTAGCATTGCAGGTTGCTTGACGTATCATTATTTTTTTTAACAGAAAAAGAATTACGACAGAGTTCAGAAGGCATTAGACAGCATCGCTTCCATCAGAGAGATGACTCAAGTAAGCATGGGGCTCCAGATTTACTTCAACACTTAAGAGACACATGCATTGTAACATGCATTTTTAGCAAGTATTTGTTTTTCATGCCTTCTGTTGTGTGTTTACATGTGCTTTAGGTGTGCATTGAAAAATAAAAATAACAGCTGCTCAGTTTACCAAATGAAAGGTGCAATTCCCAAAAAAGGAACACAACTGATAAGAGGAAACCTGTAGTGAGAGTGGAAGGGGGTCCTCATCAATGACCTTCTATTGATAATATCAGATGTCATGCTGATTCAATAATTCAGCACTACCTAAGTCACCATCTCAGGACCAGTATGCACAAGGCCACATTTTCATGCAGCCAATGTCTGATAAGTAAAAAAAAGTGACCTCTGCCTCTCCACTTATATAGGCAGGTGCCTACTGTGCCTTATAGTAATTTCAGTCCTTCAGCGCATGCAGATTAGGAGTTATGACTTCACTCTGATTTGTATGATCTGTATGTTTGTTGCATTTCAGTGTCTCAAAAAATTGAAGCCTAAGACCCCAAGACAACTGATATTTTTGAAAAGAGGTCATCAATGGCATCACTCATAATTTAGCCAGTGCAAGCTTCCTTTCAAAGTTCTGCAGTGCAAATGTAACTATATTACATCCTTTTTGCTGCCACAGATGTAAGGCATATGCCTTACATCTGTGGCAGCAAACAGATTCCTGGCCCCTACAGCTTGAGCTATAGCTATAGTTTGTTTACATTTACTTAGCAGACTGTCTGCTTTTTAGTAGAAGTGATCCTGGACTGTAAAGTTGCATGGGTTTACGCTAATATAGTAGGACTTAACAAATTGCAACTGCCCCCGTTTTATTCCACATGGTCCCTGCTTTTACATAGTATATAATGTTTGGGGGTTTTAAGTAATTTACAGGCCAGAAATGTGCATTTTAACATACGTGCAAAACATGGTAGGAAAGGAACCTCAATGTAAGCTCTAGTAGGAGCTTTTACAGGACTGTCTTCACAACCCCCATGTGACAATGCTGTGCCAATCGCCAAGAACCAGCGCTGCCACGGGACTGGAAGGGGAGTGATTTATAAGCTCTTCTTTACTCTGAAGTATTAAATAACTGGCTCCCAGTAGAGTGAAAAAAAGTGAGTATATGCTGCTTTTGGATGGGAATGAGGATAAGCATTCAAGTAAACCTGTTGCTTTGCACTGCTTGGACAAAGAAAAGTTATTTTTTTAAAGTGACCTTCTTGCCATTGGGAGAACATTAAAGAAATAGCACCCAGTGGAAGAAGAACCTGTGTGCTTACCTGTAGGGTGGGCTGTAAGTTAAATCTTCACCCTTTGGCAAAGTTCCCTGCTCATGCTACCCAACACTGCAATCCTTAAAGACGAACTCTGGGCCTTTTAAAGATTAACCATTGCAGTGGAGCTACCTCCGCACCAATTCTCGCCTGATTCTCGGTCCCGCAGCGGTGAGCGCTCTCCTCTTTTCCCCTCCGCTCCATCTGTGAAATGTCCCTTGGCATCTTCACGTTCAGTGCAAATCAGTGGACGCGTATTAGAGGTGATGACGTCAGTGGTACTTAGACTGCTGGAGCCTGGGAAAAAAGAGGCTACGGGGACCATTATATCTTTTTATTTTAGCCTCTAGAGCAAAACGAGCAGTTAACCCTTGTAATGTGGGGGTAGCCCCGCTGTAAAGGGTTAATTTTTAAAATGCTCAAGAGTTTTTCTTTAAAGAGTTGGCTCTCCTCCATTTAATTGTAAGAAGAACTCTTAAACTGTGTGCATGGGTTTGTGAAGCTACTTATTTATCAACAATAAAGATTTAAGCTGCATATGTAGCTAAAGTGAACCTGTGTTTTACAGTTCAGTGCAGAGCAACAGGTTCATTTTAATAGTTTTCTCCCCAGCAGCACATAGCTGTCTGTGTGAGAATTGAGGAAATGGCTTGGATGGTATAGCTAGTAGTAGTTAGTCACAGTCAAATTGACTTGTCATGTAAGGTTGAAGACCTTTCGTAGCTTATCTAAGCCAGTTTGTACAGGAAATTACCCCAGCTTTTATATCCACACAGGTAGCACAGACACATTAATGTAATCATGGACTGGGTAGATGTGGACTGTTTAGGAACAGAAGGGGTGATGCGGACGGTGTGGAACCACCCTGTTCTAATTACATAATACTATCCTTGGTATCAGGGCCGGCCTTAGGCCTTTAGGCGCCATGTGCGAGAAAGCTTTACAGCGCCCCTCAGTGGCCACACCCTTTAGTGGCCACACCCCGTAACCACACCCATTTCCCCCAATATCCGCACCATTTAAAGACTCCTATTTTGTTAAGCCGCAGAGAAATATATTAAAAAGTATGATAAAAATAAAACTTTTATTCAAAAGTATTAAACTTGTAAGCACAATATAAGTATTCTTATCAAATAAAACAACAGAAGGTAAACAATAAATGTCAAACTACAACAGAGTCTATAAAAATAAAGTGTCAGGTTGTCATGCCGACCCCTTTTTTCAAGACAGTATATCTAGAAAAGTATAATTTGTATGACAATGTGTTCTGTGAATGCGTGGCACCATCTTGGAGGCATTGAGCATGACGTTACATGACGCCATGCATGCGTGGCGTCAGGTGACGTCACACACTGATATTGGCCCCACCATCTTGGTGTAAACCTAGATATACACCAAGATGGCGGAGACCAACACGTGCGGTGTTATATGATGCCATGCGCCCTGCCTCCAGAACACGCCAATGGCTGAATCCAAAATAGCATAAAAAAGTGTTTTGTTTGATGAAACAAATGAAAACGGTTTTAGTTTTAGTTTATTTAATCTGAAATGAATTTTTAGTCTTCGCACTTGTCTAATAATATGTGTG